ACATATCATTAGGAGCCGGATTCTTGCATCTTCTACAAATTTTGGAACCGTCGATATTACTGTTTTCCTCTGCCATAGTAACACAAAACAAGAAAATATCTCAGACCAGTTGATAAATGTCCCAGAATAAGAGTTTTTTAAATGCACTAATAACACTGACTTATCGATACTTTGCAAAAGCACAATTAAAAACAACGTCAGGGCGCAGGTTTCAAGTTATAACATAAACTCCAAGTTTTTTGAATGGAAACCATAGTTAGCTATGAGATAGCAAAATATTATTTTTTTATGCTTTCCAATGATATATTTTAAATAGTTATTTTTAAAAATGGGAGAGCTGCAGCCATTTTTAACTTTTCAATTGCTCGTTGACTTAGATGGCTGTGAAAACAATCAAAATGTTTACTGACAACGCTTTTAGCTACTGTAGCATTATTTGACAGTTACTTTTCTTTCTTAAAGCGTGATATTGAGTGTTATATTCGTTGTGATAAAAACTACTTCGAACAATATTTCGATCGTCGACAGCCTAGCCTACCTACATTCAGAAGACTATGACATTTTGGGATAATATGGTACTTTCTGTAAACTGAAAAACAGAGAAAACAATATAAATGCAGCTGCGGAAGTAAATGTATTAGCTTCATTTATGTTGTTTTCTGTTTTTCAGTTTACAGAAAGAACCATATTATCCCAAATTGTCATACAGTCTTCTGATTGTAGGTAGACTAGGCTGTGGATGATCAAAATATTGTTCGAAGTATTGCTATGCAGCTCAAACGGAGTTTTTATCACAATGAATATAACACTCAATATCACGTTTTTCTTCGTTTGAATAATTCATTGCCTTTGGCAATTGAAACGTCTTTTAAGAAAGAAAAGTAACTGTCAAATAATGCTACAGTAACTAAAAATGTTGTCAATAAATATTTTGATTGTTTTCACAGCCATCTACGTGAACGAGCAATTGAAAAGTTAAAAACGGCTGCAGTTCTCCCATATTTCAAAATAAAATACCAAATATTATATCGTTGGAAAGCATAAAAAAAGACATTTTTTCTAGCTCAAAACTTGAAGTTTATGTTATAACTTGAAAACGAAAGTGTACACGAAGAATTTGATCACATTGTCTTATTAACATTGCAAAAACCTGAAACTTGTAATTTAAAATGTTTTTGTAAAATAAATAGCAATGGAGTTACACGCATCTGAAGGAATTGGCCAAATCCGGATTTTTCCAAATATCCAGTCGGCCAATGTTTTTTCAAAAAAATAAATGTAACATTTAATCAGGATCATAAAACTGCACAGCTTTCCTCATTTAAGCTTTTTTGTCTCTATTACTTTCCCAGATCCCTAAACTAACCATTAAAAAAAACTCGCTCTGTAGAACAAAGATTTAGAGTTATTTTCGATTTACTTAGCTGTGTTGTAAGCTCACTTTAAAATAAAAGAAATTTAGAACTCTAATATTTTTTTAATTTGAAGAAGTAAATTTAGTTAAATTATCTTATTTTGATCCCTATATCTGTGGTAATTCCATATACACAGAATATTGGCACACCCACCATATATGTGTATGTATGGGCAGCCCTTTTCGAGACTCATGGTCAGCAACCCACAATTTAATTTTTTATTTCACAAATTTATTTGTCACGGGAGTTCTGTATGAGGATCTAGAAATCATCCGCTCAATAACGGCATGGGTCACATGCCTCACTATCAAAATACCACCACTTTTGTTTTCACCAGTCACAGATTCACAGGTTCACTTATTCAGCGCTGTAACAAGGTATAGGCAGAGTAGGCACACACCTATAGGCGCAAGCTGCTAGGGGCGCATGGAAAGTTACGCACAAAAATTTTTAAAATATTTTTGCAAAAACATCCTGGGAATTTTTGTAAAATCCTTATAATTTCCGAAAAAAAAATTATTGAAGTTGTGGTATTTTCAACCTTTACATCGCTGGACTACTGTAATCTCTAGCGTCATTGGCGTTGTAGGCTGTGCGCAATGCGCTCTCTCTCCACGTGGCCCCAGGCGATTCCAAATACTGAAATCCGATATTAGTATTTATGTTTTTACGTAATGTTTACATTAGTTCTTCAAGTACCAAAAATAGTACGTGTATAGCAACTCGGAAGTTGATGGATATCGTTTTAATTTATAATAAAGAATTTATAGTTCGTGGAAACTGGGTAAGACGGGCCCAAATGTTTTTACACTTCGATGGACAAATTTTTAAACAGTTGTAACATCAGGTTATGTCAAATTATTTTATTAACTGAAACCACAAATTAATTTTATTAATTAATAATAATAGCCGCAAAATCAGTTGAATTTGCTGACGTAAAATAGGTGTTATAAAATTTTATTTATTTCTTTCCTTTAAATTTTTTGTGTTCATTTTTTATTACACTTTGCTACCGTGCCGGTCGCCGACTGCATGCTTTGCCTGGCTTAAGGTCAGGTTTTATAGTGGACAAATTTCCAGTCCCGTGCAGAAGTGTATTTTCGAGCTGCTCTTTTTGATTTTTTTTACAAAATTGTTTATACGAGTCCTTTGTACATTAAAAAAATTTTTTTTTTTTGGATAATTTCTGAATCACCCTGTATATTTACTTATTTTTTTAATTCCGGGTTATTAATAGATTTACTTTTAAATTTCTTTTTTACAAATAAGTACTTATGTAGGTACTTAATATTTTTTGTTTCTAGAGTTGTCTTTGTGTTGTTTTTAATTTTTATGTTATTTACTTAATCAAAAAATGCAGTTTTATATTTTGTTGTGAATGTGAAGTTTGTTTATTTATATATTAGAATATATATTTGTTAAGTTTTGATAATTTAAGTCAAACAATTTATCATGTTTTATTTTTGTTGTTACGTTTGTAAAAATAAAATGTTTGTTTTTGAGTTTTTGGGTATTTCCTTAAACTCACTAAGGTTTGTTGGCCCAACATGACCAAAGGGACAACCTCCTTAAGTTGTGGTATGGAAACACACATATATTAAAATAATTAGGGTGTGTACAATTTTTGTCGGACAAATAATTCACAAATGTACTAAAAATTTAATTTTATTACGAACAAGAACATAACTTAGAACAAGAACAAAACTTTAACTCTTAAGAACATTTTTTAAATACAAATCTATAAAATTTATAGAGGTTAAGTTAACAGTTATAGTACAGCGCGAAACTAAGCCATAACACATGTCACGGCAGAACACTGGGAACTATTTCACAACAAATTCCAAAACAAAGGAAAAGTGTCACTCGATACGGTATTCAAAATTATTGATTGGAAAATTACGTGTCTGAGGCACCAGTAACAACCATTCAAAGTTAACCAAAAATATTATATGACATATGAAACAGTTGCCAGCAATGAAACTTAGATGTAACGACTAGCATGAAATTCACATGTCTCAACTTATTAAACTTCTTAATTTAGAATGTTTAGGTAATACTTAAACCTGTTTAAAACAGAATTATTATTTCTTACAACCGAATATTGCACAGGTTTAAAATATCATCAGTTTAAGACCATTTCAAATTATTTACACTGGGTGCCCAATTTTTGTGCCACAGAATGAGAATTTGGGTTATCCTAAGAGATGCAAGGCTAATTAAGCTAGCGTACAGTTGCTGCATTTGATGGTAAATAACATGCCAAAGGAAAATTGAACTTATTGTTTTTTCATTAATAGTGCCGATGAATTTTGATTGTTGTTTTTTTTAAATAAAAACCAAATGAAGTGAATTTTTTAAATTCAAACATCTATTAGGACGGTGAAATGACATTCAACTTTTATCTTTCCTATGTGTGCCGTATTGGATTTTCACATTTTTTAACTGAATTCATTTTTCTAATTTGACGATGTGTCATATGTTACAGATTACTTTCCGTTTTTGTTGACATAGCAAATTATTCACATTTATAAAGTGTGCCTTTAAAACAAATGAAAACTGTCAAACAAAATTTTGGCAGTTTAATTATCATTGATCAAGTCAAACTGTGAAAAATTCGATTAAAGTAATAGTTGAATGTGTTATTTTCAAAGCACTCTTGGTAAAAATTGATAATTTGGTATTCTGAGGAAACCAAAAATGTAAAATAATTCAAATGACATTGTAATCACAGAACTGAGTTAAATTTAAAAAATGTGAAAACCCAATAACCTCATAAGGAAAACGAAACTTGAAAATCGTTTCTTCGGCTTAATAGATGCCGTGGCTAATACAAATACATCTTTTAATCCTCCACAAAAAGATGCCCTAACAATGTTTGAATTTAAAACATCCACAACTCCTTCAATTAAGGGTTGAAAAAATAAAAATCTAAATTTTCAGTTAAAGAGTGACCGCAAAAAACCTGTGATTTTCACCCGTCTTTTCACAATTCGCAGAGAATTAAAAAAAAAATACATAAAAATATGTTTTTGGTCGCAAATTACTTGTCGTAAAAAACTGAAATGAACATAGCTTTTAGTATTTTGAAAATTTTAAAAATCGCCCCTACTTCGGGGTTACAAAAATGCCAAAAATGAAGAATTTGAATATTACCAATTAATATAAAAATTATTAGCATGTGAATTATCTTAATATATTTTTTTTGGAATTTTTACAATTTTTTCTGATATTCTCTATTTTTGGGGATGATTCCACCCCCTGAGCGCGCTTAAGGGTGGATTCAACATGCTTATTTCAGCCATGAGAATAAATCTTTCCTTGAATCAAGAATCATTCGATAGAAAAATTCACATGCTAATAGTTTTTATATTTATTGCCAATATTCAATTCTTCATTTTGGACGTCTTTTCAACCCCTAAATAGGGGTGATTTTTTAAAATTTCCAAAGAACTAAAAGTACTCATCTTAATTTTTACGAGTAATTCGAGACAAAAAACATATTTTTATCTATTTTCTTTAGTTCTTTGCGAATTGTGAAAAAACTGGCAATTTTTGCGGTCACTCTTTCTCTTCAGCATGTTGTCATCAAATTTTGAAAAATAAGCACCCGGTATACTGAAATTACAATAAAAAGTATACATCAAACCACAAAAATTATTAATCCAAATGTTTTTCTGAAGAGACAACAAACTTCAAGAAAAATTTTCTTGCTACAAAGAAAATATTTTTTTAAATTATTTTAATATTAAGTACTTCATGCGTTCAATACATTTATTTAAATTTATTACTATGCTCCTATATTAAGAATGTGTTATTTCAATTTAATAATTACCTTAAACTGACGAAATGAAGTCAAAAATTGCTGTAGGGTATAACGTATTTTGACAAATATCGGTTGCAGTAAAATAATTCGTACGTTACTAATTAGGCACTTACTAGTGAGATGTATGAATCAAACTAAAACTAATATGGGGTAATATCATTTTTTATCAAAAATACCAGTTATCAAAATGGAATGACTCGACATCTATTACCTTAAATCTATCAGTCCTTTAAAGCTCAAATTATCACATTCAATCATTTTTTATTGGGCCTTGGCGTACATAGAAAAATCCTACACAGGATGACTTTATACCTGGTACATCAGTAATGGCGCAATTGTATGGAGTCACTCTTTCATCGTTGAAGAGAACCCATGTATTCCGTTCATCATTCAGGAGGATGGAGGCATAGTAATGACCACAACTCATCGATCCACTATGCTGTGGAATCGAGTAGAGTCTATAATAGGAATTACCAAACTCTAACTTGTCCATGGGGAATTCAATTTCCAATTCGTTCTTGCGGAATGTCCCATCTTTCTCAGCAACATATCTAAAAGCGATCAAAACCATGTTCACCCTTCACAAAAAATTCAGTAATCTCTCAGTCGACTCACCTTTTTAAGACAATGACAAGGATTTCAGGATCAATAACAATGGCTTTTCTATTAACAATTGTGGCAGAGGACTTGCATTCAGAGCAGGAGTATTCCGACACCAGATTCTCCTTCAGGTATTCCTTCAGCAGCGCTTCGAGCCTGACACTTTCGTTTTTGACAGGTACAGGCAACATAAGGGAGCTGTCACTGTCGAAGTTTAAATTGGGTTTCTGGCAGCACCAGCAAATTTTTGTATTCTTCAACTGGTAATAAAAAAGTTCGACAAAGTAAGAGGAGCGACCCTGGAGCTGACTGTACCAAGATCTCTCACGATCAGTCATCACTTTAGGGCGTACGAGGTCGAAAGAGCAGTCTTCGCTAAGGTGGTTGAATAGAAAGATGAAAAATTCAAAGGTGTCCTCATGGTTGCCTTTGCTGTAGACTGGGTTAAGCTCATATACTTTGTTAAAAAAGGATTGGGGATAATATGTTTTACAGTTCTTTGCGGTACCTTCCCATATAGTTTTCATCACCTGATATAAAAATTTTATCATTAAAGTTGTCACTAAGCTAATTTTTGTATACTTACAGTGGCAAAGTGGGTCGTAATGACAGGTGGCTGCTTGTGAATATGTTTTATGTAACTGTTCGACGTCACAAACATCGATTTAATCAATGGGAGCACCTTCAGACATTGTAGCATGCAATTCATATAGCAATTGTTTCTCAAATTTCTGAGGCCAGTATAACCATCCCCAACCATCTAAAATAACCAAACAAAAAAAAAACTAGTCAAAGTACTGAATGAAAACAAAAAAAAACTTACTCCTTGATGTTTGGGCACAATGGGTTGGAAAGGCTTGTATGATCGATCAACTGCAGGCGGTTTAAAAAGTTCCTTGTTCTCTTCAATTAAGTTCTTTATTATGATATCCCTAGGATCAGTTCTGGGGGATTCCTGACCAATTTTCGGCTTCAAAGCACGAGCTTTATACAATAATAAGGTTCTATCACCTTCAATAGCATTTTTAATTTCAGCTTCTTCATCTTTCGAAGGCTGCTCAATGTCCTTTTCAAAAATAACCTCTTTGTGAGGTTCTGATTCAATAATAGTAGTCGGTGGAGGTTCGGTGATAGACTCCACAGAAAAGTAATCTTTAGGAAGAGATTCTTGTGATAAGCTTCTGTAAGGACTAACACCTTCCTGAGCCGAATAGAAATCTTTGGGTAATTGCCCTTCCGAACGACTGGAGCGTGTAGGAACATTTGCTCCCTCTTCCGCATCGCCAAAGTCTCGTTTAATACGGGCATTGACATCAGTAAATGAACTGATAATGTTAATGTTACGATTAGGAGCAGATCCTGCTTCAGGATAAGATACTTCATCTAATGTTAGTATATCTTCCAGTTCGGAATTGGTTTGTGACAAAAAGACAAAGCTGTTTGTAACTTCAGTTGGATACCACTCTAAGAATTCTTTTAGTCCTCCTAATAGAATAACGGGATCTTGGCGATATACACGATTGAAATCCCACTAAAACAAAAGTTTAAGAAACAAAAAATTTAAACGCGTGACACTTACTTCGACAATGCATATACGTAAGCGTTCTATCTTAGAACCGGCAAAATTAAAATCATCTGTGTCCCAATCCATGAGTACGATAACGTCAAATGTATCTCTTTGGTTCCATATTTCCTGGGTATTACCTTCCAAACGTTGGCCCAAAGTGTTTGCGGAAAGTCTAAAAATATCAGAAGCAATTAGGTATCTTGTCATTATTCAAATATTTGTTAAAATCTTACCCTGGAACCAGAATTTCTCCAGGAATATTGATGATGTGTCCTTCCTCGGCAGAAATGAATGATTCTGTAAAATCCTTTGCAGGACGAATGTCCACGATCAAAAGATTTGTCTTTTTCATCAAAGCATTAAATAAATCCACAGGTGTTATGTAGATCTCTACAAATTTAAAAATATATATCGTAATCAAATATATCATCACATATAATTTTACTGTCAAATATAGGTGACTTATCGGATCTGTCATCTCCTGCACCAGCATCATCTACTGTTGGCTTAATATATGGTGAAACGGTCGATGTAGATGGTTGTTCATCTTTAGCAGTGATTTCTTCGGCTTGTTTTTGGGCCAACTCTTTATACCTAATAAAAGGTGAAGGATATTTTATACAAGAACATTAACTTTATAAACGATTAAAATATTTAAATATCAACTTGTTTTAGGTTTTGACCAACATAGCAACAATGCATATAAACTACACCATGCAAATAATAAAAAGAATAACTCCTGAATACCTAGCTGCCAAATCAATTTCTAGTTCTTTTACAATGCTTTGCACTTTGTTATAGTCGCTACGATAACGAATCTCTGCAAAACTTTTGTCATGAGTTAGTTTGAAAAAGATGTCCATTAGATTTAGGTAACGTTTCGATATGATGTAGCATTTTTCTTGATCATTTTGAACTTGAAGAAGTTCCGTCATCAATCTATTTGCCAGAGCTGGTAGTCTAAAAATCGTCTTTATAAATTTCGATTAAGCCATCGTGTAGTGAAAATACCTGTCGACTTTTTTGAATCCTTTGAAGGTATTATCTTTTACTAATAGATTTAGGGTTCTTAAATTATCGCCTATGTACAAAGGAACTGGTTTTTTATCCATCCTTCTAAAAAAATAATTTAGGTATATTCAATAACATAACCTTAAAAAGAGTAACAAAAACTTACAGGCCGTGAATAATTTTTATTTCTTATTTACTAGGCGTTCTATACATTAACTATGAACGATTTTAATACAAAATAGTAAAATGTTCTTAAACATTTTAAATTAAACCACTATGACTTAAATAACTGCAAATATAACATTTTTTTTACATCTCATCTGACATCTGACGTCTGAACTGAACTGAAAAAAAACTATTTTTTTTGCAAAACAGTGTGTTCACCGTGTTCAGCTAATTCCAAGACGGTTTAAGTATTTTACTGTTTGACGTCATATTCTGCTGTTATTCAGTGTTGATCAGGAATTATATATTTCTATATAATAATGAGATACCTATATTATATATACTACAACTAAACATACAAAACTGAGATGGCAACAATAAAATTATAAAATGCAGCTATTAAAATAAAATTTCTGTATACGGTGCATCACAAAAAAATTATCTGAATTTGCTTTATTACGTTCTGGCAACAAAATTAAAGGTATTCCAAATTTAAGTAGTGTTAAAGGTCTGATAAACCTAATACAAGTACTCTGATATTTTTTATATGTTATTTGGTACTGGTAGGTACTTACTCATCCATTTCATAATCCTCGTCAAAATCCTCGTCCTTTATGGAACGCCTCGATTTAGATTTTCGATAAGTACGAGTTATTCTGGACATTTTACTTTAAATTTCACAAATTTGACAGGTACGTCAACCCTTTGACTTTAAATACTAGATTTTAAAAACTGAAAGAAATACTAAAAAATAAAGATCGACTTTTAATAAGCAATAATCTTATTACAAATTTTCTAAATCAGTTGTTTTCGATAAAATATATATTAAACCCATAAATTTTTTAGTTTTAAAGGTCTATGGTTAAAACAAATCATTAAAAAAATTAATAAAGAATATTTTGTATTAGCCTTGCTTATAAACAAGGGCGAGTACTAGGTACTATATAGACGCTCCTGCCCCCTATGTTAATAAATATGTTGAATATGGATCCAAATTTAACGAAAAAGTATCTTCTATATATAGGAAGTTGTCAGATAATTTAATAATTAATTAGTAAAGCCATTTTGTTTAAATATTATTGTACTACTTAATATTTGTTTAATATCGGTATCTGCAAACTGTACTATAGCCTCGAACCCGAACTTTTCAACAATATGGGGGCTCTGGAGGTATAGCCAATCAGCTTTAAATACCTATTTAACAATACAACTAGAAATACTAGAATTGATTGCAAGTACCGCGAATAAATAGTATAGATGGGAATACCGAATAATAATCCATAAATAACGAATTTAGTTCCCTGAAAGTTTTAACCTACTGCGCATTGTACGGCGTTGCAACAATACAAGCTCAAACGTGAAACGCCTTAGTAACAGACGAATCAAGATGTCGGCAGTCAAGATCAACTTTTAATCACAATTTTTAGAAAGAAACAGTGCTATTGTGATAAAAATACAACTGTCAAGTGTAAAGTTGTGACAATAATAAACTTTTAAAGTAATTTTAAACTGTAGGTAATTTAAAAAAACTTACAAATTTCACAATTTTAACACGCGCGATACGTCTTGTTTAATGAACATGAGACACTAATTGGTATCGTCCAATAAGACAACAGAACAATATTAACCATTTCACAGTCCACTAGATTGAAGTTGTTCTGGTGGCACTTAAACAGTTCTTATAATATACCAATGTAATATCGGAAAAATCAATATTTTCTTCAATATATTATTATATTTTCTCATATTTTTTATTAAATTTATTTTGAGGTTTTAATAATTTAAGTGGGGGTAGGTTAGGTAGGTACGATAGGTAATTCATTGCAAAGAAAAGAAAGCAAGCATGTTTGATGTCAGAATAACTTTTCAAGCTAACAGAAGAGTAGTGAGTACGAATAAATCAGATTCAAATAATTTTTATTAAGTAGGTTCACGTAGTTACAAAGTTTGATGTTGGTTAGGTATAATTATAAATATTTATAATAAAAAAGAAACGAGGCAAAACATTTCTGCAGATACCTAGAAACCTAGATAGGTATAGGAGATAAAGTGTCATGTCAAAATTTTTGTATGAGTGGTGGATGAAAACTGATGAAATAGTACCTAAACCAAATATTGATACGTTTTACAAAAACCGGTTTAGGTATTACTGTAACAAAAATAAATTGATATAGGTTTTCAATTTTATCTCAAAATTTATAGGTTTAAAGAAAGGTATCCAGATTCCAGAAATAGACAATAATAGGTAGGTATACGAACCCAAGTTCAAGTCAAAACGTAATTCAATATTAGAAGGGTGATGTAAAACGACAACAAAACGGTTTGTTGCAATTACAAAATTATTACTGAACTGTGGTCAGGGTTGTTCCGGAACCAAAAAATAATGTACAGTTTTTCCAAAATTGTACTAAATTTTATAAAATTGTCATGACTATGTCATGACCTTGAAAAGGAGTAGGTAAACTATTAAAAATTTTGCAACCGTAAATTAAAAACTGAAAATAGGGTTTATGAAATTTTATGCCATCGGGGAACATCCTTTTACTTTGACGTAAAATTATCAGTTCTTTTAAAGATACCTATAACTATAGATTATAAAAACTACTTTTCCTGGTGAGTAAGTAATAACTGTGCAGACAACTGTGTTCTAATATATAAAAATAACTTGATAAGGAAAAGGAGTACAGCCCAATAATGTTCATCGAATTTTATAGCACGGTTTAGAAATGATGTTTCCTATCTACCTACTTCATCTTGGGAAATTTTTAATCGTACTACATTGCAGAGAGGTACCATCTTACTTTTTGAAACTCGACTGCACAAATTTAGTACATAAATGCGATTGTATATTTGAGGTCAATGACCTAATGTATTGAGAGTTGCATGTCCATTTTATGGGTTCGAATTCTCACATTCACAAAAAGAAGGGAGAACACTAAAATATTTACATCTACACGTGAACCATGAATTGCAAAATTAGCGTTATTTGATTTTTTATGTACATTATAGTGATTTCTAAATTCCTTTGTAAAACTATTTAAGCAAAAACTAATGATTTCTCTTCTATACCATTAGATTTTTTCCTGGTAAAATTAAAACTGACAGTATTCCCAATTAAATACATATTTTATTAAAATACAATGAAAATACAGAACAAATTAAATAAAACAGATAAAATAGAATACTCCACACTTTTTTTAATAAGAAAAAAGGGAACTCATACAAGGTGCAAGCTATATAACAGTTAATTTTGACATATATAAATAGTATAAGCGATGACAATATGATATAAAATTAAAAACAATTACATTAACAAAATCTATCAACCAAGCAGTACTTTTATATTAAAAAAAAAACAATCTATCACAATAATTCATATTTTAAAAGGTATTAATAACCCAGTACATTTATATGAAATGTGGTACATTACACACATTGAAGTTGTTCTCAGTAGTGTCCAAATATAGAGAACACAAGTACACATTTACATAAATTCAATTATATAGTATCAGTCAAATAATTCCATATAATTGTTCATACACTAAACATGTCTAAATGTATTCTAATTGTGGATAAATTAAGCGACATACCTACTTTTAACAATTACAGCAACCAATTTTTAAAAACGTACCTATTTCATTACTATCATGTAAATTTGTTGACTGTTGTTTAAAATTAAATAGTTAATATTTTATAGCGTGAAAGAAAATTTATGTAATTTTTTTGACTGATACGATTTTTCTTGTCAATTATAGTGTTAAGCTTTTTACAAGCATGGTTAAATCATCCTTCTACAATATTAGATACTTAAATATTGTTTAGATATTATTTTCGTAGGCGATTGCAATTTTTTTTTTTTTAGAATGTTATTAAATATTTACACAAATGATGTGTTACATTTATATAGGAATGGATAGCTTTTTCGTTTCAATCTCCAAAGTTTACACAGCCAATAATAAAATGTAAAATTAAATTAAATATACATTTCTTATACCGCTTTAAATATCGTGCAGTCATGTGGCTTTTTAACTTTCAATATAACTACTATGAAATTTCTAACCAATGTAATTTCTTTCTTTACAGAAACTGGCACTGTGTCATACAAAGGAAATAGGGCTAACGGTAAGTAATACTATCAAAAGTATTATTATTATTTCGATTTTATCAGAGAAGATATGATAAACATAAATTATTGTTTTATCTGTGAAATTGCTTGCTTTATTTTTAAGATACAAAATTTGGAGATCTGAAATTTAACGTAAAAAAATATGTTGTCGCAAATTATTTATTTGTGGTATGGTTTTCATTTCTTCTTATTGGTTGGGTATTTTGCTTGAAAACAAAAACAGATAGATTTTCAAAATGTCAAGATTTATGCCAGTGCACCAATATGTAGGGAGATGTATTTTATTCAGTTTGTTGTCAATAGTGGGAAGATTAGAGGCCAAATTTCAAAGAAAAACAGCAAATTTTCTCAATTGTCGACGTTTCGTCACTTATCGTGACATCCTCAGGACACTATAAAATTTAATAATATCAAAATTACATCACAATTTATAAATAACAAACTTAACATTAAAATATTAAAAAATTAAAAAAGTGTGTCTAAAACATTACAATAAAATGAATACAGTAATATCTATATAAACATGAAAAAAAAAAAANTATATCTATACTGTCCAAGATTGTTATATGACATACTATGTATAACGAGACTAGGAAAACACAGTGAAACACTTAAATCTGTAATGTGAGTAACATATAAACAATATACGTAGATTTAATTTTAATTTAAAATTTTCTTTTTCGCATGTTATGTACAGGTTGTTGTTTGTTGCGTTTCTTGTTCATTCACCATATTTTGTTATTTTATTATTTATTATATAAAAACATTTTGTTTGTGTAATTTTAATACTTTTCTTTTTAAATTTGTGACATATCAAAATTGTTAGTGTGTCTGTATTTGTATTTTTTTTTCATGTTTATATAGATATTACTGTATTCATTTTATTGTAATGTTTTAGACACACTTTTTTAATTTTTTAATATTTTAATGTTAAGTTTGTTATTTATAAATTGTGATGTAATTTTGATATTATTAAATTTTATAGTGTCCTGAGGATGTCACGATAAGTGACGAAACGTCGACAATTGAGAAAATTTGCTGTTTTTCTTTGAAATTTGGCCTCTAATCTTCCCACTATTGACAACAAACTGAATAAAAATAAGGCTACCAATATCATTAGTTAGGATGTATTTTATATTTGTGTCTTTTTCGGTCTGAGATCTTTGGTTAGGCCTTTGCTTTCGTTATTTTTTTTCGCAGGTGGCAAAATACACAATAAATAAGAAAAAGTCAAAAAATTAGTTTGAAATTCAAAAAATGCATTTTTCTGAATGTTGATTAGTATTTTTGTGGTTCTATTAAATCAAATAGGAAGAAAATATAACTTATTCATATTTCTTTATAATGAATGAATTTTATTGTTGAATGTACATTTGTGTAAAAATAAAGCAACAATGTTAATTAGTACATAAACCAAGCCTTAAGGGTAGTAGGATGTGCTTTACTATGGGTTACCTGCTGCCTGCATTTTGATCTGCGCATTTCAGGGCTCAAGTGAAATTTGCCCGGGTGTAATATTAAAAATTTTTTTTGGAAGTTAATTTGACAGAGAAATTATAATAGTAACGATCATTAAGGTTAAAATTTAAGAAACTTATTATTACGAACCCACTTACCTTAAAAACAAACATTTTTTATTGTTTTTATTGCGCTAACCTTTGAACATATCACAGAAATGAAACAAGTTATTCGGTAGTGTTGAAAAACGTTTTACAAATCATACCTTTGGATCATAATTGACAAACGGAGCAAAATAATGTTCTGAAATGAATTTGTAACCATGATAAAACTTGTGTCTTATAACTTTTTTAAAGTCAGATATATTAATGAGAGAAAATTAATCACTAAAAAAAAATCTATAGTGGGATATGAATAACCATTTACTTGATAGCGAATATTATATTTAGTACATGCCATCATACAAATTAAAGCAAAAGTATAATTGATGGGTGTAATGTCGAACCGAGATTTTCATTTTGTATTTTTTTACAGAAAATCTACTAAATTATTGCTAGCAACACCCTGTTTTTTTTTAATGATTTATTGAATTATCACTTTCTTTACATTTAGCGTTAAGGAGTACCATCTCAATAAAACTTATTTGCCAGAAAAACTTAGTATTTTAAATTTGTGAATTTATCAAGTGCTTAACACATTACTCGATTATTTATCTTAAAGCGCCATATTTCGCAACAACCACAAAACAATAAATAAGTTTTTTTTTTATATATAACGCCAAGTATATATATAAAAAATGCATAAATGTTTATGAAAAAATGTACAATTAATTTCAATATATTTTTTTGAGTCCTGTTCAGGAACAAATTGAATATTTTCATTAAAATTAAAAAATGTATTGGGCTATACAACTATAAATTATCAATGAAATAAACTATCTGTGAGAGAACGAGGAATCTTCGATACCATTTTTATTTTTTTCTAAACTGGCACGGTTGGCTTCCGCTCTCCTTTTGGCGTTTTGAGCATCACTCCTTGCACGGCCACGCAGGACCACATTACTCTGACGCGGCATAGGTCGCGACTCTGCTTCTTCCTCCAATAAATCTTGTGGACTAGATTCAAGCGATTTCAGCATTATTTTAAGCTGCGGTGTGCCTCCACTGTCGTCGTCAGACTGCTGGGCAGCAGTTGCTAGTACCAACTCCTGGACGAACCGACTGCGGTCCTGCCTTTCCTCATCGCTCGTTGACTGCTGAGCTAATTCCTCTAATAAACCTAAAAAACAAAGAAAGTATGCAACGATTCTCAAATCCGGTACTTGTAACATTTTTCTGCTTTTAAAAACTGAATTTTTACAAATGATACATTAAAAATTACAAACAACTTCTTTCATTGTGAGACGGAGCTTATTGGCTTGAATTTATCTTCACTTACCTGTTAGCAGAAACTGTGATTGTGGTGAAGGGGCAGAAGGTGCATTTGAAGCTGGCTGCACTAACACAGATGAAGCGTTAAGGATCATAGTGGTGCCGCAGTTTGAAGTATTTGGTTCTCGTAAGGTTTGACTTTGTGTCTGCCGTCTAGGATATCGTTCTAATTGCTGACGGGCTGCATTAACTTGCTGCCTTTCTAATTGCAATTGCATCTGTAGCTGTTGCAGCTGAGTGGGGTTGCTGCTATTCGTGTTACTAGCCGATCTCCGAACACCTGTAAAAGCCAAATGAAAATATTTAATTTTTCTTGAATTATGAAAATAGTGTTACAAGTTTCTATATATTGAAGTTTTGTAAACAAATCTAAAGAATTATAAAACTAATAAAAGTTACCTGATAACTGGGACAATAATTCGGCAATGGGATCTACAGATTCCCTTGAAGAAGGTGATAATGATGACAGTCCCCCAGAACTAAAAACACTAAAGCAAATATCTTTATAGAAATTTATTTTTATGGCACATTTCATTAGAGCAAAAATTTTAGGAGAAGTATTGCAATATTCAATTTGCTGCAATGAATATATGCCATTTAACACAGACTTGAAAATTTTTCACATAACACGGTATTTTACAAAAAATATGGCTTATTAACTGGAGCTTTCAAAAAAATGTCATGCGCAGTGTCCATAACTGAATGGGCTGTACTTCAAGGATAGCTTCATTGGAATAAAATAAACCGAGTCAGATCAAGTTAGTATAACTTTGACTTATTGTCCTTGACCAAAATTTTCATATTTAATATTTTAAAATAACTGATACTGATATGAAAGCAGTTTTTCATGTAGCTGAAGTTGAATATAGGATTAATTTTTAACATACTTTCTTCAGCTGACAGATATTTTGAGAAAATGGAGTTGTTTTAAAAAACCTCTATTTATTTAATGTTAAAAAAAGGGTTGTAGTGTCTCTAACAAATGCACCCTTTCAACACAAAAAATGGGCTTTGAATTTTCTACCGCAGTTATCAGTTATGGAGAGCCGTGTATTTGGGGATATTCTATCACAACTAAACATTATCCTTTTGTAATTATATTAAATATTTTTTTTACGATTTAGAATATTGTTTAGAACAGAGATAAATTAACTTTTTGACGATATCCATTGTAATACTGAATAGCAACAAGTGTGAAAGAGTAAAGTACAGTCTTTCCTACTAGTTCCGGCTATTAAGCCATCATCAGAGAAAAAAATAACAATCATTGAAATGAACATTATGTAACAGATTGAGAATATTCCTAATTTGTTACGTCTTAAAATAAAATTATTGATATTTTCAATAGTTTCCACCAAAGTTATAGAATGTTATTTACTAGCAATTATGTGCGGCCAATTTTTTTTGAATGATTGTCAATTTCCCTCTCCCCGATTTCATAATAGCTGAAACTAGTAGAACGGAACAATAAATGTTAATATTAAACTTCCTGTTGTATCGAAAGTGGATAGCGTGATATATCTTCCTTCTCTTTTCAACATAATTTTCTCTCCATAACTTCATTCTTTCTTTCTATAAAATTGTTCTTCCTTTATTTAACGTCTTTCTCTTTCCAGCAACTATCTCTTTCTAACATCGTTTTTCTTTCATTATAACATCATTCTTTCGTTCTATAAAACAGGTTTAATAAGTAATCCACATCCAAATATACGAGGGATATTCTATAAGTACCGCTGACTACATCCAGGAAATGTGGACAAAAGGGCCTACCTCCCTTATTTGAATAGAATATCATAGAATATCATAGAATTTATTGACCATTTACATACACTAATAGGCACATTTTCAGTCATAACATTAAAATACATAAAAACAACTAACAAGTACAAGAAATAAAATCGTCGACAGAAAAGAAACAATTCGATAATAAATAATTTTTGGCAAATGAGTGGAATTCTTTTGATAACACCTGTTTTTGTGCTTAAAGTAATTGTGAAAGTTATTATAAAGACCAATAGATAGCTTATTGTTCTTGGTGATACCAATTTGAGAAAAAGGAATTATATTTCCGGCATGCCTAGTATTGTACTGGTGTATATCAGAGCGAGTTGATAGATTCAACCAATTTTTGTGTACTAATATTAACGACTCCAACAAGTACAAACAGGGCAGTGGTAGAATCCCAAATTTTTTAAATAAATCTTTGCTAGGAGCAAGGTTTGGCACCGCTGAAACAAGGCGAATCGTCGCCTTTTGTATAGTAAAGGCTTTGTAAGCCTTACTGGAGTTTCCCCACAATGCAACACCATAAGACAAGCGACTTTGTATCAATGAAAGAGACAGAATTCTCATGACATTGTTATCCACAAAAGGTCTCAACTCTCTCATTACAAAAATTTGAGTGAGAAGCTTTGAGCATAGATTGTGTATATGATCTCCTCATTTCAAACAGGGATCAAGAGTAATACCAAGTAGTTTTACTGAATTGGTTTTAGCACACCATTTATCAGAGGTGAAAGTTATGTTTTGCGTTTTTGAAATATTGAGTTTTAATTTGAAAACCAGGTTTCAGCCAAGTTAAGACTATCTATGCTCAAAGCCGAGAGCATGGAGACTAGACAAGGACTCTATACACAAACTTATAAGGGAAAATTGACAAAATTTGTCAATGAAATAGTAGAAATTACTTATAGTTCACCGCTAGGGTCGCTAGTGTTCCTTGTGTCCCGAAGTGAATGATAAATACGAGTGAAGTAAGCAAACAACCAAGTTTATTTTAAAATGAGTAGATACATCAGGGAGGCTAGATATACATATACCGGGTGATTCAGTTTGATATTCGCGGCCTCGTATCTCTTTTGTTTTATCAAATAGCTATAACAAACCCTATATATTTTTAAATCGCCGCTCAAACTCTATCAAATGACATTGTTAGATCGACTCCATGATAATGATAGCCAACTGCGGAAACAACTGAATTTTGACGTTTCTAAATAACGGTTTTTCAAAATAATTGACATTTTGTACCTACCTATTCTATCTATAACTAATTATTATTACCATAACATGAATACTTATAGTAACCAAGAAAAACTAGATATGATTTTAATTTATGGAGAGTGTTGAAAGAACGCTAAAGTTGTCAAGTATTTATACCAACATCGTTTTTCGCAAACTTCCATCGGATAAAATTTTCGGAAAGTTCGCCAGGAATTTGGCAGCAGTTGGTTTTCAAAAGAAATGAAGAGTTTTTAAACCCAGAAGGGTAAGAGATGAAGAACATTCGATAAAGATGTTAAATACTCTGCTATAGATCTCCGGATCTCATTCCTATAGATTTCTTTCTTTGGCCTTACCTAAAAGAAAAAGTTTACTCTTTGCCTATAAATGATATCGATGACCTTAAAAATAGAATAAGAGTAGACTGTCGGAGATTAAATAAAGAAACACTAGAATGTGTTTGTAGAGAGAGAGTGTGATAAACAGAGCTATTCTGTGTTTGGAAGCAAATGGAGGTCATTTTGAACATTTGAAATAAATATTGTTTTAAATTGTTATATTATTATCGTATTAAATATAAAATATGTTACTTTAAAAAACATAGTAACTTGTTTTTGCAGCTGGCTATCATTTTTCAGAATAAAGCTACTGAAAGTAGGGTTCATCTTTTTTGCTGTTTTTCTAGCAATATTTCATAGTTGAACGCAGAAAAAAAATATCTTCCAGAATTGATAAAAAAATATATAGTGTTCCATTTGAACAAAAACAGTTGACTATAGCAATTTTGACATATGTTACCATGGAGACGATTTAATAATGTCATTTGATAGAGTTTGAGCGGCGATTTAAAAATATATAGGGTTTGTTATAGCTATTTGTTAAAATAAAAGAGATACAGGGCCACGAATACCAAACTGAATCACCCGGTTTACTAACCCAGAAACTAGAAATCATAATAATTGTTGCAATTTGTTTTTATAGTATTAAATAAAGTTTCGAAAATAATTTAAATATAGTGAGAATATGCAGTGAATGACTGTAAAAGTGATAGGGTTACTGATAATAAGCGATGGGGTCAACTGGGTTTAAGAAAACCAGTACTTTTTAAAGTGCCAAAAGTACCTATAAAATATTCAATAAAAACATGTACAAGATTATAATAGTAATTTATTGTTTCAACAACAAAAATCTGGAATATAAAGATAGTAATAATTTGAAATATTTTTCATGCCCTAGCACACACACACACACAGATTTTTGAAATTATGTAAAACTATATTTTAATTGTTTAATATTATATCTGTCAACAGATTTAAATGAAAAAACAATACGTTTGTGATCTGCACTTTCAATCTAATGATATCCACCAAAAATGTCTTGAATTGTTGGGAATTATTCTGATCATTTCTAACTGATTGAACACTATTTGTTTTTTTCTACGAATACCAAATTTGTAGTCAGCGTTGGTGATTTGCGGTTCTTCGAACACTTTTTTGTAAGAGGGCATGATGGTTTCTGAGACTTTTCAGTCGTTCTTATTTAATTCAAAGTAGCCTACATTATTTATTTTCAAAATTTTTAACACGTCATAAAAACGACATGATTGATTTTTAATTCAAACTGCCACTTTCTTTATCTCCCCTCCACTATTTCGGTATATATGGTACACTAACGCCCTCTAATTTAGCAAGATATTTGTATAGATGGAGTTCGTGCTTTTTGTGTGATGTGTAGTCTCTATGTCTTAGAGAGTCGAGAATTGGCGGGCACCCCCACAGGTGGTGTTGCCAGCTTGTGCATAATTTCTCTATGGCTGAGGAAAAACTAGATTTAGCAACATCGCACTCGGGTTTTCCACTGGAGATTTTATATTATTTTCACTGAAATATTCTCTTTAAATTTAATATCCCTTTGAAATTTTCACTTTTTATTTGTATATTTTGATGTTTTCGAACTTTCTGACACCAAACTTTCTAGAACAGATCATTGTACGATATTTGAGATCATTCTGAAACACCTCATTCTCGAGTCAAGAACAGTCAACAACTTTGCAAAAAATGTATGATTCTGGAAAATTTTACGATTTCCAAATTCGAATTCAGATCATTTCGAGATGCAAGTACACCCACTTCTCACCCCCATAACTATCATGGTGCCCATACCAACCTTTATTTATATATACATTAAAAGTAACCCTTAACACTTAACACCTTAACACTTAAAGGTAAATTATCTAAATCACAAAAAAATTAATAAGAAAAGCACAAATTTAACTAATGAATACCTCCAAATACTAATCTCTCAAACTATGGGCTTTACCACAATGCAACAAGTATACGTTTTTTACAGTAAATAAAGAAACATTATATACAAAATTTCTCAAAATCTTCACGAACAAAAAAAATATGGCAAAAAAACATAAGACACTTTGAGATATTCTTAGCGGCCTCTACACTTTCCATCCATATTAAATTTCATTGAAACATCTAAAAAAAATAAGTCGTCTTAAAAAAAAATTAATAAAACATTTTTATGAAGGCTCCTAACTTTTTGGGATGCAAAATTGAAATAAATCGATTTACTGTCATCTAAGGAAGCTATCCTCATTCATTTCCAGATACCCTGTACATATTTCAACTTTTTCTTCGCATCCTGAAGAAGTTTTATGAAGAACTAATATTTCGATTATGTTTAAATTTGGGTACCCCATATATGCAGCAAAATGTTTTCAGCTTACCTAAAGTGCATGTTGCTCCTTCGTGGACGTAAGGCAGCCGCACCCCTGCCCATATGAGTAGCAGCATGCGAAGAATTGTGTGGTATGCGTCTGACATTATGTCGCGCACCTACCGGTTCGTCTAGAAATGAAATTAAATCTCTCGGGCCAGTACGATGCTCTAGCGTGAGATGGCCAGCAAAATCATCAGTCATTAGGTTCGGATCACCACCTGGCATTGCTGCGCACAAGGGGCATACCTATAATATATGTGGGAAAAGTCAGTATTTAAATAAATAGATTTACAGCATAGCAACTCAGTAAAATATTGTTTTGTTTCTTTGGTACGTACCACTTCAAAGTTAGTGTCTTGATGGTCCGTAGTAACATGCTCTTGTAAGGTAACATCTGTAAAACCCATGCGACCACAGTAAGGGCAGGTGTAGGACTGTGGCAACTCTAGGCTTGTTAAAGCTTCTCCCCCATAGTAGAGTTCTGAAAATCATTGATATCGCTCTAGATATAAATTAACAGAATATGTTGCTTTACTTTATTTTTTAATTAAAATCTTTGACTACGGAATCTTTTTTAAAGAGATATTTCTCAACATAATAGTTTTAGATTAGTTAATATACAGGGTGATTCAGGTTTTAAGGCACAAACTGAAATGGGTGATAGATCTTATCATTTTAAGCAAAAAAGTTTATATAAACATGAGTCCGATCTCGATCAGTAGCGGAGCTACAGGGGGTCAAAGTTTATTTATTTTTTTCTATTAATTAAAATATCTCGCTCACATTTCAAAATATCAATTCAAAATTTGGTGTGGTTAATACTTCCTATAAGGACATCATTTCAAGCATTTTAAAGATTTTTAAAATCTACAGGGTGATACGTTTTTGGGGGTTGAGGCTTCTTTATCCCCCCAAACATTTTCGTAGTACGCCTCTGACATCTTCCAGTTAGCAAATTGGGTGGCTAGTTCAATTTAGAGGGTTTTTTGCTTTTCAATTTTGTTCGAGAAAACAAGCGTTTTCGAGATAAATAAGCATATCCGTTCTAAAACATGTTAATTTTGCCTGTTTCGCTTAAATTTTATTCTTGGACAAAATTCGTTAAAAATGCAATAAATTGTACTAAAATTGCAATGTTTTTAAACATGAGTCGAATTTGGATCAGTAGCGGGGATCGATACAGAAGGTAGAGGATCAAGTTGTTTTAAGGTTTTAAAGTTGGTTAAATGGTTCATACATACATTTTACCATTTTTTATTTTAATTAATAGAAAAAAATAAATAAACTTTGACCCCCTGTAGCTCCACTACTGATCGAGATCGGACTCATGTTTATATAAACTTTTTTGCTTAAAATGATAAGATCTATCACCCATTTCAGTTTGTGCCTTAAAACCTGAATCACCCTGTATAATAATTACCAAACTTATTCTTAAACTTTGAAGTACAAATTCAACTAGATTGGTCTCAAAAAATATGTCAAAGATCAGAAGATATCTGTATCTTTTATAAAAATGATAACATTTTGTAGTATAATTCTTATCATTTAACATATCCTTTGTTTTTTGTAAATTTTCTAGATCAAACAAAATTCTAAATTTTAAATAAAGCAGTATTATAAAGACACCGAAATACTACACTAGATTATGCCTACATGCTGCTAAGGGCCCATATTGTGTTATTTGAAGTCATGATCCTGTTTCGTACCAATTGCCGATGGTTATAATATAAAATTATTTATTATTTACTATTGTTCTTTATTTGCTAGATTTTTTTTACTACATCAACGTATTTTAGATATTTTCAGTAATCAACATGTTTTTAACAATACCCCCTTAACTAATTTTGAGTGATTTATTAGCAACCTTGATTTAAAAAATGTTTCACATATGCCCCCCCTGACTGAAGGAAACTTAACTCTGCAGGCATATGGATATTATAAAATAGAATGGCTTACCGAAATCAGATCTTGTAAGTATACATTGCATAGGATGGTCTGTAGTGTGTCTAGTATTTGTGGCTCCTGCTTCATAACAAGCAGCACAAAGATCATAATCGTAACAAACCAAACATTTGTATCTACGCCCTCTGAAATTTCCTTTTAGACAAGAGTCACAGCTAACACCTAAAAAATATACAATTCTTAGTAGTTGTGCTAATATTGAGGGAAATAAGGAAAAACAGAATAGGCCTTGATTTCGTTTTTAAAACACATCAATAATTGTATTTGATAAAATGTGACATTTCATACCTTCGTGACGGCTCATATTTAAATAGATTTCAGAAGCAAACTATTAATGTTAATTAATGTTTAAAGCATCTAATGAACTTTCAATGTTTTTGTGAAAAATTGACATATTATAACCAACAAGGGATGATTTTCACAGAATAGCCGATTAGCAGCGAAAGAGAAATTGAAGGAACTATATCTACCAACATTATATTTTTCAATCGAGAAAATCCCTAGATTTTTCGTTTGGCTACTTTTTCAGGTGTAAGAACTGTAAGGTATTAAAATTTAACGTAGGTACCAAAAGAATAGAACTCTTTATGTTTGAATTAGCATTAATTATACACTATTTTAAATGATAGCTACCTGTTACGCCACTTTTATTTGGGGTTGAAATTCTTTCATAATGTCAAATCTGTTTGCTGATACTACTCTTTTACTCTAAATGTTTATTATTTCATAAGCAATCTAAAAAAAATATAGAAAAACATACAGGGTGTTCCATTTAAAAAAACGATTTATGAAGGTTTGAAATTGACTAAACTCGGCATTAAATTCCTAGCACCCTGTATGCAATTAAGCCACTTTGAAAGTATGGATGGGAAGCTTAGGGGTCTAGCTATCCCCCCTATAAGCTAGTCAGTTTCTCAATTTTTTTGAAAAAAATTAAATATCTCGAAAACGGTTAATTTTAGGAATAGTTCATAAAAGTACACCTAAAATAACACGTAGAATTCAAAATTGCAATAATATATAGGGTGTTCCATTTAAAATAAGCAAGTTGATGGCGACTTCCGGTATAACCGGAAGTGATACGTGGACGCCATTATTTCAGTTGAGAAGGGCATGCCCAAATTTTCAAAATTCAAGTCGAAGTTGTCTGAAATAATTCTTGGGCCGTCACCGTGAGACACCCTGTATAGAAGTTATTATATACAGGGTGACCCAATAAGAATGGAAACACTCTCGTACAAAAGTTGTTTATGGACCGATTTGAACCGGTTTTTTTTTAAAGATAGATCTCCAAAAGCTCTATCTTGATGCAAAATTTGAAGACGAAATTTTGATTTTCAAGACCTACTACGAATTTTTTTTTTAGAGAAAAGTAGCAAAATTTTGTTAGCGATTTTTTTTATAAAAAATCTGACTACACCTCTGGATTTAGGAACCCCTCAAATACATTTGTACCAATTTTTGCGAAAAAAAAGTTTGCCCCTAAAAAAGTTATGACAATATCGGCATCGCCAGTGTTTGCCGTTGTCGGTGAACATATTCTTTTATAAAAACCAAATAGAACCCAAAGAGAAACAAAATTAAATAACAAACACTGGTTTACTAATTATTAATAAGAATCATAAAAACCAGTATACACAAAATAAACAACAATTGATAAAAAAAAGTAATGATTAAAAAATTATTACATTTTTAAAAATGAAAAAGGAATCTATCAAATTGATTTACACAAATCACGTCATTAAATTTAAATTTTTGTAGCTTCCACTAATCCTCCGTTTAATTCTATACATTTTTCATAACGTTTTTTTATATTTTTTACAGCATTTCGTAATTGATGCGCGTTAATCTCCTCAAACGCTTCCCTTATTCTAGTGCACAATACCTCCCGGTTATTTGGCCGTGTCTTATAAACTTTGGACTTAATAAAGCCCCACAGAAAAAAATCAAGTGGGGTAAGGTCCGGAGATCGGGGTGGCCAATGAATTAATGGACTGTTTCGACCTATCCAATGATTGGGGCATTCTCGTTAAGTCACTCCCTGACATGTATCGCATTGTGTATTAGACATCCATCCAACTGAAAATGTAGATTTACTCTTTCTTGTAATGAAAGATTATTGACTGCATTAAAAAATTCGTTCTGAAGGAAATGTAGAAATTGTTCACCATTCATATTCCCTTCAAAGAAGAACGGACCAATGACTCTCTCATTAAGTATCCCACACCAAACGTTAACTTTCTGACTATATTGTCTTCGACAATTCCATTCGTCCTGAATGTGGCCTCATCGCTGAATAAGATATTTTTAAAAAATCGGTAATTAAGATATTGTCCCTGTGCCCAGAGACAAAACTCCATTCGTTTCTCATTATCACCTGGTTCCAGAGTGTGAAGAAACTTAGGTTTATAGGGTTTTATGTTATTTTTCGTCGGATACTTTCTCTGGGTAAATTTAAATCTAAACTAGCAATCCTGAGGCTATTCTGAGGATTGTTTGTAAAATAATTTAAAATTTCCTGCTCGTGAATACGTCTTCTCTGTTGATTGTCTCTTTTTAAAATTTATTTTGATACAGCACCATATTCCATAAAAGTATTGTTTATTTTAAAAACTGTGCAATGCGTAATATTAGGTCTATCTGGATGTCTGTTAAAAATTATACACACCTCTCTTGCTGTCCGATCATTTTCACCAGAAAGGCATACTATTTCAATTGTCTCATGTAAAGTTAAACTTTGAGCCATCGTAAAGAATTATGGAACTTATTTAATCATGCACAAAAAATATTACAATGTGCTACTACTTGTGAAGTTTGACATTTGTTGTCTAAACTTCTATTTTTCACAGCCTACCAAATTTTGTTCATATTATTTTTAAGCAACGTTATTTTCTGGATATCGTAATATTTTTTTCAGAAAATTCTTCACAAAGAATTAGATTATGGTTGTAGAATCCAGTGGCTTTTTGAATAAAAAAATTATAAATGTAATTATTTTTGTCTAAGAAGTAATTTGTAAGTTTTGGCATAATAACCACGAAATAATAATAATTTGACGAACTTGTTGTTTATTTTATGTATACTGGTTTTTATGGTTCTTATTAATAATTATTAAACCAGTATTTGTTATTTAATTTTGTTTCCCTTTGGGTTCTATTCGGTTTTTATAAAGAATAGGTTCACCGACAACGGCAAACACTGGTTATGCCGATATTGTCATAACTTTTTTAGGGGCAACCTTTTTTCGCAAAAATTGGTACAAATGTATTTGAGGGGTTCCTAAATCCAGTGATGTAGTTAGATTTTTTATAAAAAAATCGCTAACAATATTTTGCTATTTTTCACTTAAAAAAAAATTCGTAGTATGCCTTGAAAATCAAAATTTCGTCTTCAAATTTTGCATCAAGATAGAGCTTTTGGAGATCTATCTTTAAAAATAAACCCGGTTCAAATCGGTCCATAAACAACTTTTGTACGCGAATGTTTCCATTCTTAATGGGTCACCCTGTAATTTAAGGTGATCTTTAATAATAAAAATCATTTGATTTTTTATTATTTATTTTTTTGTGTTTAAAATATCACATTTATAATCATGTAACTTAGGACTAAAATACAGAAGTCTATTTTACAGAAGTGTTTGGAGTAACAGTTTCAAGATATATCTTGTACTCTTCCTTTTATTTACACTGAATTTAATGTTTAACAGTCAAGAATAAGTTTGACATATATATGATTCTTTTCAACTGTCACTTTCAGTTTACAAACGACTAGAGTTAATGTTAAGTAGATTTACACATTTTGCTTTAAATACATTTCTAAACAGTTATCAACTCGGTTGTTACAAGTATAAGTATTTTTCAGTGCAGGATTCTTTTTTACTGGGAGAATTTTCAACACCGCGACATGTATACATCAAAAGAGGAAAAAGGGTCATTCACTGAAGTTTTTTTTCAGTGGGAAAATAAAGTTACAGAGATTGAATATTTGAATAATAAGTCTTCGTATAAGTGTAAAATATAAATAAAAGGTTTAAAAATGAGTCACCTCATGCCTATTCAAATTTGACAAATAATTATCATTTGAAGCCAGCCTAAGTTGTGCGCTTAACTCTATACACAATTCTTTCTGTTCGATAATTTGTCTCACCAAATTAATTTTCTTTATTTGCAAAATTTGATTTTCTTTTTGAAGAAGAGCCATGACTTCATCTAAACATTCTTGTTTTGGTATAATTTGATTTACCATTGAAGTGCTACAAGTTGAATCTAATTTTTCCTTTAAAATTTCTATTTCATTTCTTTCCATTTGCATATTTTTCAACAACTTCTCTTTCAACGTAATTAAACCATTTCTCTTGTAAGTAAGAAGCACTATATCATCATCAAATAAATAATCATTATTTTCTATGTGAACTTCTTCCTCTGAATTGTCAGTTTTGTCTTGGTCTTGTTCATCGAAAAGGGGAATTTCTGGTTCTATAGTTGTTACAACAGAATGTGATTTATTAGAAGAGTTATCAGACTGGGAACGAGCTGCTTCTACGTTCTCATATTGTACTGGCGCAGAACCATCAACCAAATCATCGGGCTCTTTGCTTTCTACATCTTTATTTCCTTCTGCTACCAATTTTTCTTCAGACTTCTCGGAAACATCTTTACTCTTTTGGACAGTTTTTAACTTCCTCTTAAAAAGAAAACTGTTCAAATATGTTTGTTAGAAGAAACATTTTGGCTAAAATTTATTTACCTACCTTTAACTGGGTTACTATCCTTTGAACTTCCCACAACAATTCTTCCCGTTCCTTCGAATTGCAGCCATAGTTCATTTCCTTGTGTATCTGAGTGAGTAGAGATTCCTGTTTCTTCAGTTCGATTTCCATTAAGTTAGGTTTATCAGGTAGCTGGACACCAGACCCTAATGGAGGTATGTACTTGAAAATCACAACATAGGGAAACAGAGCCTGACTATGATGTAAAAGCGCCTGCAGTAATCTCGACGAAATATGGAATGTATGGTTCAGCGCTGCCGCAATGCTCTGCTTGTTCATCTTATTCTGCTTCTCCTAAAATTATGTGATTGTCATATTTTTCATTGACGCACTAATTTTTACTCACATTTAACGATACATTATGCAAGTGCACTATAAGCCAGGACAAAAGCAGTTTGTTTAGCGGTGGTAAATTATCTACTAGTATTTTCAAATGTTTTTCCCTCGTGTTAAAATTTAAAATGGCACCAGCTTCTTCAAAGCGTATTAACAAGTCATTTGTAAATATTGGCTCTGGGAGATCTCTAAAAATTAAAAATAAAATCATCAGATATATAGTGGGTGCTATTTGCGAACAACACCATGGAGATCTCGGTTATCTTAAGAGATATAGGGAAAATCATATTAAAAAAAACATAACTTCATGTTGAACAATCAATTTTTTTGTTTTGAAGATATTGATGAAAAACTGACAATTTTGATTTTAGTTCATATTTTCTTTAATCAAAAACTGTGAAGATGGACTATTTTAACTCGACCATTACCATATTTCTTAAATTTAAAATATTCTGTTCATTTTTCATTTTTTTATTATTATTATTATTATTCAATTTATTTATTAACTTTGACAAACACTTATTTGAAAACAAAACAGTCGAGTATTACGTCAAACAAAATTTTGGGAGTTTAGTTAAATTTTCATGAACAAAAAAAACACTTGTAGTTGGATGTTTTGTGTTCCACTCTTTATAAAAATATTTAATTTGGTATGTTGCCGAAAACAAATAGCAAACCATATATTACATACCATTATTATAAGAAAAATGTGCCAAATTAAAAAATTTAAGAAAACTAATATTGCGCCCAGCCATTCAGGATGATGCTCGATGGCCATTTGATGTAGATACGGTTTTTGCATTGTATACAATAAGGAGAGGAACAATAAATTATTATCCTATCAAACAAAAATCAGACTTTTTAGTTCTTTACTGATAATAAGACAAAAAAAGATGTATCAAAGAGTGACCGCAAAAATCGCCCATTTTTCACAATTCGCAGAGAACTAAAGAAAATAGATAAAAATATGTTTATGGTCTCAAATTACTCGTCGTAAAAAATTAAGATGAGCATAGCTTTTAGTTTTTTGAAAATTTTCAAAAATCACCCCTATTTAGGGGTTGAAGAGACCAATAAATATAAAAACTATTAGCATGTGAATTTTTCTATCGAATGATTCTTGATACAAAGAAAGATTTATTCTTATGACTGAAATAAGCATGTTGAATTAGAAAATCCACTCTTAAGCATGCTCAGGGGGTGGAATCATCCCCAAAAATAGAGAATATCAGAAATAATTGTAAAAATTTCACAAAAAATATATTAAGATAATTCACATGCTAATAGTTTTTATATCAATTGGTAATATTCAAATTCTTCATTTTTGGCATTTTGCCAACCCTTAAGTATGGGTGATTTTTAAAATTTCAAAATACTAAAAGCTATGCTCATTTCAGTTTTTTACGACAAGTAATTTGTGACCAAAAACATATTTTTATGTATTTTTTTTAATTCTCTGCAAATTGTGAAAAAACGGCCGAAAATCACAGGTTTTTTGCGGTCACTCTTTTTTTTTGGGATGTCTTAATTTCACCAACATTGTATCTTTTTAGTAACCGAAATCCTCACGGCAGATCTTAAAAAACTGGTATCTGGTGTAATGACATACCTTAAAAACATTTTTAGAAGGCTAGTTGCTGTAGGCACGTCATAATCGCTTAATCTAACATTCTGCCTGTGATTGTACATTTTCCTTATCTGGGATACTTTAGTTTTTGTCCCACTTATTTTGTATACGCCTTCAAATGAAATTCCGACAGCTTCGACGTAGTCGATGCATTCTCTAATAGGCAACGGTAAATCTACACCATCATGACATCGACTTCTTTCTACTGCTAATTCTAAGCTCACTCCAAACATCGGTAAAGCATCTAAAATAATAAGCAATTTTTATAGGTCAAAGAAATGGTTCCAATTATTTGATTTACCTGCAATATCTACTGTTTCCTCTACAGATTGCTTCACCTTCTTCGCCTTTTCTTTTTCGCATTTCTTGTCAGTTTTTTTATCTCGGTCTTTCTTCTTGTCAGATATTTCCTTATCCCTAGATTTTTCCCTTTTTTCTTTCGACTTTGTAGTAAATTTAAAGGACTTTGTTTTCTTCGATTTTGAAGGACTCCTGAAAATATAATTATTGTCAAAAAAACTTTTCTAAACATGGAAAATTATTTTATATGTATTACAAGAGTATTACGGTAAACTAGGTATTTACTGCCAATTTTATTTTCTAGTATCCATAAAATAATTACACACACATCACTTATTATGATTATATTTAGTTTGCTATTCTACTGTAGTTATATGATATTTAGACAGTTATGATAATGTGAAAACAAAAAATATTTAGATATCACAAACGGTTATCTTTATACTATATTAAGTTAAAGATATTTCTTTTTCAAAATTGTATTTACATTTTGAAACATCTGGTTAGTACACTAAACATAAGTAAAACAGTTAACATTAAATTGGCACTTCATAAAATGAATCTTACATTTTTTATTGTATAAATATGTTGAATCAAGTGTTTATGTAGTTAATATGCACAAACATAAAACAAAATACACATATTTACTTCCCTACAATAAATCATGTTCATGAAGCGGACATTAAAGAGAATAGATATTAAAAAAATATAGCCTTCAGTGGTTGCGTTTTCTTTTAAATTATTTAATTATACCTGCTGTTCTGTACTGTTCGTAAGTACTGTAAATTTAACCTTTAAGTATTATGTATAGATAATTAAAAATATGTTACCTCGATTTACTAGTTTCATCGGAGCTTTCCCCTTCTAGGGCTGCATACCCCCTTTCCTTGTCTTTTTTATCCTTTTTATCCTTACGCTTGCCTATTAACATATCTTTTTTCATACCTTTTTCAGTTTCGTCACTGTCTAAAAGATAAATAAATAAATATGTGTAACAATAAAATTTTATCTATACGACTTACAATCACTATCATTGTTACATTTTTTATTCAATTCTGACGCATACAATCCTGGGAAATCTTTCATAACGTCGGGACTATCAAAATCCATTGTTTGTCAAGGTGATATATTTAAATATTTACTTAATTTTATTTGTGTATACACTAAAAGATTCGAGACGAGATATATGTATTTTTATTACATCTGTCATCTCATCTGTCATAATTCAGTATTGCCAAGCCAACGGGTTTAGGTTTATTGATCCAAGAAAAATGATTGCCAACTTAATAGTCCGTGGCATCTTCATCAGAAAGGAAAGTAGATTTTTTTAAGATCACTACGGTCAGATGTCCTTTTCACAAAATATTTAATAATAAATACGTTGTGTTGTCGAGGGTTATAATAATTCATTTATTAACACCTTTCGTCAATAAAACGTCATGGATTTTTTTCTGTATTCCATAATGAACTTCTTTCAATAGTATCTAACATTTTTTTGGTTACTTATTAAATTGATACATGAAATATTCTTCAAATATAAATATTATTTTATGTAATAAATGTTAATTTGTGGAATTTTCAATATTTGCAAAAATTTCTGGCTGTGTATATATAAAACATTTCAGGGATATCTTATGTTACAAAATTAGGATATTTTTTAAATATCCTGCCCTATATCCCAGGGACATAGTTTGGACATAGGTACTTTGATCGAATATTATTACCAAACTAATAATGGGATATTGCAAATTTAAATACGCGATATAGGCAATGATAGGTATATAATATACCAGACGTATTCCGGGATTTTGGGGATACTTGTATTTCTTTAGTTAAATAGGTACCACATTTTAAATTTTTGTTTTCTCAACTATCAATTTTTCAGTTTTGTATAAAAGTCTTTCTATTATTAGAAACACTTAAAGTGGCAAAGCTACTGTGAGATATAATTAAATTAAAGATATGCTCCAAAGATAGTAATAAGTACATCTAAAATGTAGTAAATCGATGAACTTAAATTAAGTTGGTTTGAGAATTTTTTATTTAATATTGTTATTATTAAGGTAAAACCCTTATTAAAACCTTATAAAATATATCGTTAAATAATGACAATATGTTATTGTACCCTACATCTTTACTGCAGTAAAATTACATTATTTTTTTACTTAGAAATAGTTAATTATTCCGTTTATCTTCCACTTTTTAATGACAGTGACACATAGGAATATTTATGATTTGTTATTAATTAAAATTAAATATAAGGTAGGGTGTAACGTAATGCATTTCTGGAAGACACTGCTAAAGTAATTTCAATAATTTCAGTAAAATACAGCCCATCTATTTCTGCGAAAATTTATAAATAATAATATAGAATAGTGGTCATTATATTTTTTTTTCAATTACGTAAGTATTCTCAGGGAGTGGTACATCCTATTGTTTGATATTTGGCATTTTAATTATTGGACAAGGTGTTTTTAAGATCTGATCAATTCGAATTAGCTTTTGGTGTGCTCCCAGCCAGATTTTTTTATACTTCTATTTTTTATCTCAGAAATTAAAACACATTGAAATGCAAAACAAAATCTTAAAAAGATTATGTTCCTTATTTTTGGTTTATTTTTTAATATAACGATGCATGGGCGTAGCCAGTGGAGGTAAGGAGGGTACTCCCCCACCCCCCTTAATTATTGCTGCATGCTGTAAGTTTCAAAAATCGCATTATTATTGCTGGCCATTCGTTTTTGTATAGTTTTAATTAATATAAAAATTTAAACAGAAATAAGTATATTATTTATTTGTTTAGATAATTCAGGTGTTTATTATAAAACAGTCAGATTGAATCACTTTATTAGGCCACTGTTTGCCTTTGGCCGTTAGGTAGGAAGGCTTTTGCCCATATATTCTTGGTATTTCTGAAACCATGAATTCACATACCACGGTCTTTGTTCAATAAATTGGCTCTCGCTCCCCCCTAGGAAAATTCCTGGCTACGCCCATGCACGCATATAATTCCTTTTTTTCTTTTTGTTGTATGACAGTTATCGGTGTGCCGCTTTGGATTTTTTATTCTATTAGAAAACTAAAGATGAACTATTATTTAATATTATTTAAATAGTTAGAAATACTGGTTTTGAAAATGTTTATGTAAAAATAGGAATTCTTATGATATCTGGTCTATCCATATTTCTGTGTGAGACTTTTGGGAAGTACAATTTTTTGCAGAGTAACTACTTTTTTTGAAGGCGAGTTTCAGGTATTTTTAAACTGACTTCAATTTAGAAAATAAAAAATTAATTAGCATATTCTATGCATCATTAATAAAAGCTAAGACATTTCATATTCCCCTTTCTACGAAATATATTTTTATTTGTTATTATTGTATTATTGTATTGTTATTAATATTATCACTAAGAGAGATGTGATATGACTTCCTTGCTCATATATCTGTCAGTAAAGACATTGAACATAAATTAAGAAACTAGTTCTTGACTTTTACTTTTATTGAATGTATTTGGCATAACATTTCTATTTTTTTAGGTCACCCTATATGTCTAATAGTTTTTACCCATTACTAATTCAATTACTTAGTAATAAAGGTACTTGGTCATAAATAAATAAAGCCAATTTCCCGTGTAACACCTGCTCAAAGTTTGCTACAATTGTTTGTATTGTTCGTTAGCGGATAGTTTTATAGTTCCTCAAAACTGGACTCATAACTTATTTTATTTTTCCTGTTTAGTCTCCATAAATATATGAGTACTTATCCCGTTTGGGTTTTTCCCGCCGTGTATCAATAAATCGAGAGGTTCGATGAAAGGCATCTCTTGTACGCTCATTGAATCATGTTATAATCTAAGTCATGATTATTTATGAATATAAACTAAATGTGTTTTAAAATTTGTTAAACGTTGCTGCGTCGCCGGACGAGAATTCCGCTTTGTAGATGCGTTGAAAAAATAAAAAACGCTTATTCGAGTAATATCAACCAAACTAAAGGTCGTGAAGTGAGTTCTGCACAAGTGAAGATATTTAAGCCCGTGAAGTCAAGTTAGATTGTGGGACAACAAACTAGTATTTATAATTACAACTAACATAGAAACAACTGATCTGTTTGTATTTCACTTAGTGTTGTCAAGGTGTACACATACATCACAGTTACCTCATACCACTAATTTATGTTCTAAATACAGTAAGCACAATGAAGTCGCACATAGGTAAGTAAAGATTTTATTTTCCTACATTTAGTTTAATAGGTTAAATACGTTCAATCGATGATGTTTTGTTTTTGTTATAAGAAAAAGTCGTCTTGGGATTACCTTGAACTAAGCTATTCAATTTAATCATGTTACTCAAAATAAGCACTACAAAATTGTATTTACAGTCTTGGATAGAACAAATGTACATCATTCGATTAGCTCAACTGACCTTTTCTGTTTTGTGGGCCAAATATTACAGTAAATAGTGAACAGTGCCGTAGTCTAACATAATGGATTATCATACATTTAATTTTCGAATATTAATTTTGGTAATTTGCAAGTCAAAGTAGTTTTGTAATTTTTTTACTATGGTGACAAAAATTAAATATCAACTAGCATATATGAACAACTGTGGACAATAAAAAGATTATAGCCTAAAATGCATATGGTCATTTAAAAAAAACAGGATTTTATTAATTTCGACCATCTTCAGTGTTTTAGGTAGGAAACTTTTTGTCCTCTGCTGTACACTTATATATTCACGCAAGTATATCTACTATATTATAAATTGAAGCTTGACTTGCAATTAGCACATTTTAAGTCAGGATATATTTATTTTTACTTAAAATGTGATAATCGAGACAGAAGAGGAAAGATACATATAATTTTAATATTTTTGTTATTTAGTATACTAGAATGATAAAAAAATATTAAAATAATTTAAAATTTGTTTGATAAAAATATAATTTATTATTATAAATTTATTTTCCCCTAAGGAGAAATCTCACACTGGAACGTTGTGATTGTTTTTAATTGCATTAGACCCACTACAGTCAGTTAAAAATTTACAATTTGTAAACGTTATCTGTTTCCGTTATCAAAACTCATTTAGAGAAAATAATTAAAGTAGAGATATGACAATTTTTGGTTTTGCTTATTTCATTTTAGTACAAGAAAAATAAGACAAAATTTAAACAATAAAAAAAACTTTCTTTGCCTTTCTTGATTATTTTTTTATTCTTTTTAGTAATGTCTAAAATCTAGTCTAGTCTAAAATATTCATGAAACATTAGAAATGCGCCATTAAAAATGTATTGTATTATTCCAACTGCCCCACTGACTAATAATAATTTTTTTTATTTATTATATCAGATTTGCTAGATCCGTTTGGGTTTAACAGCATCGTGGAGATGAAACTGACCACAATTTTTTTGTGGTTTATTTACCTGAAATATGTAATTTGTAATTGCTCATACCACAAGTAACAATAATATTTTAGATGACGGCAAGGGATAATTGTGGTCAACACAATGCGTGAGAAATTTATTTAGAATCAATAGAATAAAACAGGAATCCTCCATTATGTCAGTGTCATTTTAATTTTATAATTTATTTACATTTTTTAAATTAATTATTAATTTTTTTAATTCAATTTTATGTTTGATTTTTAGTTGGAGTTTTGGCATATTTCTTAATCTCGGTAGGCTTGGGAAGGTCTCAACAATTTAGCCTCAGTGACTCAGTAAACGCTTTTGCCATAGATCTGTTAGAGGTAAGTAAGTACACAGGATGATTTATTAGAACTTGCCGATATTTTAAAGTTAGTTTAATCTGCTGGTTTTTACCTTTAAAATTATCAGAGATCACCTTTTTTGTATAGTCTATTCTTTTTGAAAGCTAAGCCGTGTTACCTTTTCTTTGTCAGTCTATGGGAATTATTATTTTTCATTTTCAACTTGCTTTGTTCTGTTCCTCTTTGTTACGCTGTATTTTTCTCTTAGCTAAGTATATTTTGATACTTGCATTCTGAATTTAAAATTTTCATTTTCAGGAAACAATTAATCTCGCCGGAGACTCATTAAATGTTGCCATATCACCGTACACAGTATGGAGCCTGATGAACATCTTAGCAGAAGGGTCAAGGAATAATACAGCTCGTCAGTTAGAAAACGCCCTAAGAATACCTCAAGACAAAACGGCTTTGAGGAAAAATTTCCAAAATTTCACCAACACGCTACTGGTACTTACACAAAGGTTGCAGCATCATACGTAATCTCTATGTGTATATATTGTTTCAGACCAAAACCAATGGAGCTACTTTAGATATAGATACGGCAATGTTCACCAATGAAAATTTTCCTCTAAAAAATAATTTCCGTGCTATAATAGATCAGTATTACAAGGTGGCAGTGAACCAACTAGATTTTAAAAATTCTGCTTTAGCTGCATCTTCAATCAATAAGCACGTAGCTCTAGTTACCAGAGATAGAATTAAACAATTAGTCATTCCGGGTAGGTTTCAGGGATACCAAATAAATGATTTTTTAGTCTGAATTTAAATAATATTATTTTTTTAGCGGATGTTAAGAATGCCCAAGTCTTTCTAACCAGTGTGTTATATTTCAAAGGGCTGTGGAAAATGCCTTTTAATACAAGCGCTACCCACAAAGAGACCTTTTATGATGAAAAAAATAACAAAATTAGTGAAGTTGACATGATGTTCCAGATTGGGGTATTTCCATATTCCAGGATGGAAGAAATAAAAGGTCACGTGCTGGACCTGCCTTATGGGCAGGTGCGTATGTTTCTGTTTAATTTTGTTACTGGTAAACTGAATATAAAACATTCAAATAATCAACTAAACTGTTTTTTTTTACTAATGATGCTTGTCTGTAGGATCGTAAAATGTCCATGATAGTGATTTTACCTTTCAAAGGAGAAAGTATTACGGGAGTTCTAAATTACCTGTCAAAGATGCCATTTTCTTCTGTCATTAAGAGTTTGGAAGATGCAGAAAAAGAATTTGTAGATGAAGATATTCACGTCTATTTGCCTAAATTTAAAATATCATCGGATTTCGTCCTCAACGGTCCACTGATTAAGGTAATAAAGTTAACAGGTAATTGAGCTCAGGCTTATATCTTACGTTTGTTGTAGATTGGAATAAAAGACGTTTTCAGCAGTGAAGAAGCTGACTTGGTGGGTATGTTCGATCACTTCCTCTATGTGTCAAAAGTAATACAGAAAGCCGAGATCGAAGTTAACGAAGAGGGTACAATAGCTACTGCGGCGTCAGGTAAGGTGCATGAAATGGACATTGTATTTCCAGAATAAATAAAATTTGGTTTTTTTTTCTGTGCATCACATAATAATTTATTTCCAGGTGCTGCTTTGCAGAATAAGTCCCAGCCACCGAAGTTTAGAGCTAACAGACCATTCTTGTATTTCATAGTGGACAGGTCAACAAGAAGTGTAATGTTCGCAGGGAAAGTGACCAATCCAAATATAACCCAGTAAAGAAGTGACACATATTTATTCTTAATCGTGTAATGAATATATCCGTGTACATTTATAAATACATACTAGCGACTTGACGTTCTGATCTGAGCAATAAACATGTCTTTTTTGCTGAATATATTCTTTGATTGTCCAAAGACGAATGTACAATATTCAGGAAATTGATTTTACTTGCATTGGTAAAAGCTAAAATAAATTATATGACACAGAACTGTGCTGACTAATTATTCCCTTAATAATAAAATTATTATGAACACCTTTTTTAATGGTGTCAGAAAAGGGAGAATGAAGAGGGGAGGGGGAAATATGGGTACAGATTAATTGTTATTGGAAGACACGAACAATTGGAATCCAAATCCATAAAGGATGTTCAATGAAAAAGATAGGTTTGTTCATTATGAACTAAATTGATATCTTGTGATTTAAATTGTACTTATGTATGTTTTGTATCACGCTGTCACGTACTAATATGTGAAACTGTGGCAAAATACCAATCTTTACGATTTCCGGGAATCGGATTGACGGTCTTAGGTGGATATAAGTAAATTGTTTTTTAAGTTAATTTTCAAGGTTTCTTATCTTATGTATTCTAGTTATCTAGTTACCTTAATCGTAAACTAAAATCTAAGATAACCCAGACAGGATTAAAAACACGGTGATATTGTGATAGATTTTATCAGTGCTAAGAAAGAATGCGAATTTATGATTGTTATATTTTTCTATGAAATTGTGCACCATCTTTTTTACATAATTTAAGTTCGATATGATAATTCCTGCATTTTAAACATGAGTATCAAATATTGCCCTATACAGGGTATTGCTTATCTTGTAGGATAAACGCATATAGGTCGTGTAAAGGTAATAAGGTTTTCTATTTGGAATTACAGGGTGTCCCGATTTATGTGTGTACAGGCTGTTAACATAATAAATAAAAAATGAGGTTTATATATTTGAATAGACCATAAGAACACATATTAGGAAACCATAATTATTTCTTCGAAATCTAACGACACGGCGCTATTCTACATTTCTTGTATTTCCAATTGCGATATATTTTTTCAATTATTAGAGATTAATTGTGCAGGAAGAAGTGTAATTATGCAAGAAAAGCGTTTAAATGCCATTTTTTCGACATTAATTTTTACTGAATTAAATAAAATAATTGAAATAAATGAAAATATACCAGGAACTAATAACATAACGCCAAGCAGGTTTAATACAGTCCGTACAATATCTGTTGAGATAGATTTCCAAGAAAAGAATAAGCCAATAAAGTTCTGTTATTGGAACTACTGTAACAATTTACCGCGGCAGGGGCGTGCCTTGAAACTTTCCGCCAATATCTTTCTACCTTGGGTGTCGAATGCGGTTAATTCCAAGAAAGTGACGCAGGGGTCTTCTTGGAATTCTCAACAAATATCGTACGGACTATATTTGCAATTTTAAATATGTCGTATTTTGTTTTCATTTCTTTACTGTTTATTTAAAAAAGGACCCTGCACAAAATATATGTAAAAAAAATCCCGGTCGAATTGGCTGAAATTTTGCAGAGTTATAGTTCTTAGTTCATTTTGAATAAAGGTCTCAATGGGCCCAAAGACCGGTTATGCATAGTTTCCGAGATATTGGGCCTCAAAGTGGGTCTTTTAGGAGGGATGATTCAGAAGTCTGAATAATTATTTGCAGACCAACATTTCATTACTAGACTTGATGAGGTATACTAGAGTTTTTGGGGTCGCTGAATTCGAATATGGGTCTAGCATGACTCTGTAAAGTCACCTAAAGGTCGTTTCAAGATCAAACTAGTAATAAATAATAGAAAAATCTGTAAAGAAACATGTACAAATTTTTGTGATCGCTGAATCCGAATATGAGTTTCGCTTAGCCCTTACATAAACAAATACATCTGATTCTATATGTACAGGGTGATTCACTAAATTTTGACCCCAACTTTAACTTTTTTGTTGGAAGAGTTAAATGTGAAATACAAAAGTTGCACAATTTTTTATAAAGTTTTCGAAAATGATGGTAGAAAAACAAATAAAGTCCAAATAAAATGGCAGCGGATACTAACTTTGTTAATTTAAATGGAGAACACCTTGTATATTTTTACATATTTGGATAGAACGTTCCCTGTCCGTCATAGTCATATGGGGTTTGTTGAGTCCATCTCTAACAATAAGTCAGATAATATTAAAAAACGAAAAGAAGGTTTTTATCTTGTAATTGTTACACCTCTTTTAGGCATTTCTGCCTTTTTTTCAATTATGTAAGAATTTGCAGATTTTGTTGTATTACATTTTGACAACTTTTGTAATTCACATTTCTCTTAAAACAAAAAAGTTAAAAATATAGTGAATCAACCTGTACATATAGAATTAGATGTATTTATCGATAAAACGTTCATGTTATTTCTAGATTCATGAAAGTATCCTTTATCTTATACAAACAAAACAAAAAAAAAAGGAGAAACAGACGCTTACACTCACACATGCATGCTCTGGACAAAATTTTGTAAACAGTTGTAACATGCCAAATTATTTTATTATTTAAAACCACAAATTAATTTTATTAATTAATAATAACAATAGAGGCAAAATCAGTTGAAATTGCTGATACAAAATAGGTGCTATAAAATTCTATTTATTCCTTTCCTTGTCCGTTTTTATCACTGCCGCATGCCGCCGCCGCCGTGACGGTCGCATTGTGCCAGGTCAGGTTTTACAGTGGACCAGTTTCCAGTGCCGTGCAGAAGTGTATTTTTAAATCATTTTCGAACTGCCCTTTTTGATTTTTTCTTTACAAAATTGTATTTGTAAGAGTCCCCTGTACATCTTGAATTTTTTTTTATTAAGTTTTGAATCACTCTGTATATTTAAATATATGAGCGGACAAGATGAATTTGATTAAGCTATAAAAACAATCAGCTTGACATTTTTAAGCTTTGACGTAGATTCATATAACAATATATTGTTATCTCCACTTTTCTGTGCGTTTCTTAAGTTTGCTTTGTACGTCATTATAGCCTGTATATTTATAGTATTTTCCTTATCATTATTTTTGTTGTTACCGTTATTAAGTGCTACTAATAGATACAGAAAGATTTCCTAATAGCTTCTAATAAATAGCAAATATATTTTTAAATATTAAATATCCGCAAAGCAGTTTATCGGTTTCTTTAATAATTAATTGTCCTTTTCATGTCAGTTTTAAATTTTCTTGATATTTCCTAATGGAAATTTGCCATGTTAGGATTTGGTAAACCTCGCGACCCATTTTTAATTCAAGAAGAGCAATTCGTCGAATTTAAATCGTCACTTAAAAAATTAAGTGTGGAGTTCCCATGTGTAAGCCAGTAAAAAGTAATTGACTTAATTGATAGAGGTCAGAGGTCTTGCCTACAGAATAGACTTGGCAATGCACAAGAACGACCAGCATTTAGTCAAAGTCATACAGTAAATCTTTTATTAATGTATAACTAATGATAACTGGTGATAACGTTATAAACAACACAATTTCTCGAGTATTTATAATATAATAAGACAGTCCTCTACTATCTTTGTAACCTTTAGCTTTGGGTTTAATGAAAAATTCAACCTCGGGATGCATTTACAAGAAACTCAGGCGTCCAATTCTGAGCAAACCGTCGAGTGATACGACTTTATCAATTATAAGTTTGAATTATTTGGTTGTACGTTTAAAAGGATTCAATAACTTGTCGCTTCTATTATCTACAGCATCGCTTATGACAGATCATTTAATTTAGTCCGCAATTTAACCAGTTACAGTTTATTAGTGAAGTGCACTGGGTGAGGTGGATTTGACTGCGAATGAGCCATTTTTTCCATGATTATTTTTAACATGGTAAGTACATACTATCATAGATTACAGAGTACGTTTCTATTGTTTAAATTTGGAATACGGACAAGTTAGTGTTCCGTTTATGCAATTTTATAGCGGTGATAAATCCTTGGCTTGTCTTAATTTTTCTAATCTGAGTTAATATAATGTTTGAGTTTGTTTGGGAATAGCAGGAATTCCACTTTTTTGTATCTTTTAAGTGGGGACGGGGGAAATAAACATTAGTTAGCTATTACGTCGCTATCTGAAATTTGAATAGTTCAGGTATTTCCAAATTTGTTTTAAATTTAGTTATTTGTAAGTTCATGAAAACAGTGGATAGTCATAACTGAAACTAAAATAGGCATTCGAAAATTGTTCGAAATATAAGAAAATCGTTGCATTATTGGTACTCCCATTTTTTCACAATCTATGAAAACAATGAGTAATCTAAGGTTTTTCAACAATAACTCGAACTGATAAAAGCAGCATTTGGAAACATCGGCAAATTTTACTATTGTTAATAATCGACAAGAGTTATAGTTTTCAGATATAACTTAAGATTTATACACAATAGTAAAGAATAAAGAGATGCTAAATAATGATTAAAAACATCCTTTATTTGATTAAATATGAAAATCATGGTATTCTTCGATATCAGATGTACAAACGTTGAGTAAAAAATATGACAGCAAATAATTAAACTTTTGGAATTATTGTAACGAATTTTAATTTGGACGAATTAACTTCTTCAAAATGCCTTTAACTCGGAAATATCGCATTTTCGCTAGAAATTTTATTCTCATTTACGTAAGTTCCACCTATCGTAAGTTTGAAACATCTTCAAATTCCGGATAAAGCCCTATGATGTCATCGTTCAACCAAAATTAAGTGATATATCAGAGTATTTTGTTTTAAACCATCTACTGATTACTAATAATTAAGAGCCTATTATCTAAGAAGATAAGCCTGTGACGATATAACTTTCCAACCATTTAAATATTTCAAACAACAATAAGCCCAATCATGTTTTGTCTATTGGCTATAGCTTTATAAAACACATCGGTAATTGTTATAAACAAATAAGTCGATTTAATTGTTCGAATGGCACTTCAGTTGGTGGTAAGTCCTCACTGGTAAACCTTATCAATCAAGGCTGGTGATATTTTGGAACAGGTAAATATTTTTTGATCTGATTTGGGTGGGTGGTTGTTGATTTAGTTTTGATAGATAAGCAGTGCGTTGCATCCTGATCTGATCTCAACGAAATTCAAATATTTGGTTAATTTAACAATAAAATTGGATGTACTTTATGGGCAGGTTGCTAGTGATGTTTACGTCTGTGTTCCGAGGGAAAATACCCACTCATAGAGAGAAAAATTCAGATAAGCCATTGATATACACTTGATTAAAAGAATTTAAGGGGTTTAGAAGTTATTTCACATGTTTGAGCATGAAATTAATATCAGTTAAATTTTGTACGTAGTATTCTCTATCTCTATATCGCTTAATTCAACGAAAGCAGTGTTGACAACCTCTTTGTTGTGTTTACAAAAATTTATCTGTGGATATTATATATAATAAAGTGTTATTGTAAATATGTCTTCATTACAAGAAGGAATTTAACTGCGAAGATATTCATTACACTTTACTTACGTTTTCTCTATTTTAGAATTGAAAAATTTATGATGGGACGTAAATTTTTCTGCCTGGTCTTTTTATGTGTCCATCTCGAAAATTTTAGATGTCATGGAGACGACGTTTGCAAAAACGAACCACGCTGCTTAGTAAGCCGAACACACGGTATGAAATCTATAGATTGTTTCCATAAAGACTTCAAGCATTTCCCAAAATGTGTGCCAAGTGATGCAGAAGTAAGTAGAACAAAAACATATTTTAGGGTTGATTCAAGTGTATAAAAATATTACTTTTTGATCAGCCCTCGTATATTTGAAAGAATGCGTATTTGTTGCCGTAAATTAAGTTAATTGTTATAAAAATCTCCGTAAATATTCGAGAGAATCGTTTTAATTGCAATTAATGTTATAAAAGTAATGCAATTAGTATTATGATGCTCAGAATGGTCATTATGTAAACGTTAATAAAAGTCTACTTCCGTTTTCCGGTCAATCCCTTAGATTGTCCTAAAATGCTACGTGAATGTGAACGACGCGTGAATAAGTGTAACACGTTAAAAAGATACTAAAAAACAGTTTTGAAATTTAGATTTAACGTAAAAAATAGGGTTTTTAATATTAAATATATTTTTCTTGCTTTAGGTTTTGGATTTATCTTTCAACAGGATAAGGAAAGTGGGCAAATCCGACTTAAGCAAATTCAAATATCTAAAGTTATTGTACTTAAACGACAATTTTTTCGACAGCTTGCAAAACGACACCTTCGAGGATCTGACAGATTTAATCTCCTTGGACATGTCTCAGAATAACATAAAAAGGATTCCCTCGTCAGTGTTCAATTTGCCGTCGTTGGACAAACTTTACCTCAGACAAAATTTTAACCTAAATATGGTCGCCTCTCTCGAAAATGTAAAACCCATTAAAAGTCCCATATCAGTGATAGATATAAGTTCTACCACGGAGGAAGATTCTGCATCAGAATTTCCAGATTTTGGACCGATGCCCTATTTGTCTACTCTGAATATTTCTGAAAACCGATTTCAGATAATTGCGCCCAGGCACCTTGCTGGGTTATGTAATTTACAAACTTTGATAAATATCAATGTCTCCAATAACTACTTAGATAGCTGCGATTGTTGGATAATCAACAAATGGCTCTTAGAAAGAAAAGTGCAATTTAATACCTTCACATGCTCGATTCCTGAAGATAGTAAGTATTAGTCATGTTGGTAATAAGTTACAAATTTTTTTACTAGAAGAGGTAAACAAGTTGCGCAATAAATCAGTCTTCCCAATAAATATTTTTAAACAAATAATTTGCTTCATATAAAAAATTTCTAATAAAATATTGCAATGGGGTTAACTATTTCACTCTTTTATAAAATACGCCAATGATCGAAAAAATATTGAAAAGTTGTCTCTTTATTAGTGGGATGCTCATACCAAGTTTCGTGTCTATCATTTCCGTTAAAGAAAAAAATTAAAATGTGAATTTCAATCCCCTCTTTTAAGAGGGTATATCGCCTCAGGGGTGCAACTTTCATATAAGGTATATTTACTTCAATCCTCTTATTTTTGGCTCTACATTCACTGGTACCATATTTGCTACTTCATTTAAAAACACCCTGTGGAAGATTGCATGTCCATATTATAAATGAGTATGGTCATAGTTATAATTAACCATAATTATAGTCACATTTATAGACACGTCTTTGAGAATCACATAAACATCCTGATGTCATTATAATTTTGGAATTATAGCAAATTCTATGATGACAAGTACCTACCTATCTGTAGTCATAGCTATAGTTAAGTACAATTACTCACAGTTCTTAAAAATCATAGTAAGAACGTAGCATCAGTATTAATTACGGCCATAGAAAATTCTAAAATAAATGAATATGGTTAATAAATTAACCACTCAGTAGTTAACCACATTTTGAAAGTCACGTTAATATCATCATTTTGGAGTTATAGCAAATTCTATAATTACAGATACTTGTAGTCATAGCTATAGTTAATCACAGTTATATCACATTTATCGTCACAGTTCTATCGTAAAATAAATATGGTCATAATTAACCACAATTACAGTAACATCTATAGACACATCTTTCACATTAACATCGTAATATCATCATTTTAGAGCAAATTCCATGATTACAAGTACCTGTAATCATAGTTATAGATAACTACAACTATAGTCATAATTCCAAAAATCATAGTAAAATCGTCATATCGGTATTAATAAGGTTGTAGAAGATTCTATGACCATATAAATTGTAGTTAGAGCACTGTTCTCGCCATATTTATGACCATTTATAGAAGATTTTATGTCCATATTATAAATGAATATGGTCATAGTTATCGTTAACACAATTATAATCACATTTATAGGCATATCTTCGAAAGTCACATTGACAAAGTAATATCATTTAGTTAAAGCAAATAATATGATTACAAGTACTTACAGTCATAGCTATAGTCATATTTATTGTCACAGTTTTATCGTAAAATAAATATGGTCATAATTAACCACAATTACAGCAACATTTATAGACACATCTTTGACATTAACATCGTAATATCATCATTTTAGAGCAAATTCCATTATTACAAGTACCTGTAATCATAGTTATAGATAACTACAACTATAGTCATAATTCCAAAAATCATAGTAAAATGCTCATATCGGTATTAATAAGATTCTATGATCATATAAATTGTAGTTAGACCACTGTTATCGCCATATTTATGACCACTTATGGAAGATTTTATGTCCATATTATAAATGAGTATGGTCATAGTTATCGTTAACATAATTATAGTCACATTTATACGCATATCTTCGAAAGTCACATTGACAAAGTAATATCATTTAGTTAAAGCAAATAATATGATTACAAGTACTTACAGTCATAGCTATAGTCATATTTATTGTCACAGTTCTATCGTAAAATCATGACTGTCTGTATTATCAATATGGCCATAGTGTCCATACTATAAATAAGTATAGTCATAATACTGTTAACAGTTATAGCCATATTTATACTCAAAGTTGGAAAAGCTATATTGGCTGTCGATTCAGTATTAACCATATTTTTTTATAGATTGCCTTGGAAAGGAACTAAAGGATGAAGACAAAAACGTGTACGACAACTGTTTAGAAATAATTTATGCCATAGAAAAGGAGCATCGTGTGCTGAAGATATGTATTGGTATGGGAGTATCAGTTTTGATAGTAATAATTGTCCTGTTTTTTACGTATTTCTATTTTATAAGGAATAAACGCGGCAGCAAGAATAACTCGACGAAAATCGGCAATAAAAATGTCCCTTTGGAAGTGCCAGATGGCCCCTTGCTTTTGAATAACCACCCAAAAGCCAACGTTGTAAAGTTGTGATATTTTATATTTTTTATGTTAATTATTTATATTATTTAATTTGAAATGTGTCAGTTTGTTTTTTGGTCTTCTGTTAAGGAATTACTATTACAGGATCAATAAAGAAACAAAAACACTTAGTCCAAAGATAATTCTAGTTTTAAGTTTTGTGATATAATGTTAAAGTTTTATTTATCAAAATAAATAATTTCGAATAGCTCCCAAGTTTATTCAATATTTTACACGCACTTTACTAACAAATAACAATATGCCCTATATCGATTCGTTTTCTGTATTCATGTAACACTCATTGGCGAAATCGATAACGCCAGTAAAAGTAATTTCATAGAAACCTCGAAAAAATGGACTAAAATGGCAAATCTGAATACATGAATCGATACACTTTTTATCTAGATATATTTTGTAAAAATTGATTCTCAAAAACATCGAAGGTGAATGAAATCTCAACTACAAAGGCTTCATATTCAATAGTTTATAAATATGACCCCTGATCTTAAATTATTGTGGTTAAAAAGCTTAGTCAAAATCCAAACGCAAGAAAGCTGCTTATGTGACACACATGATACACTTAAGAAACAGTGCACAGCAGTCTGGAAGGCCTAAGGGGGGAGTAGTTAGACCTCCCACTTCTAACAAAGTGCAAAAAAATTACGCTGTCATATAAATAATATACATACGTTCGTGAGCCTCAGCCGTTCGTATTTTGCTACAGCCTTTATGAGCAACGCCAAGAAAAAACAGTAAAGTCACATGAAAATTTTAAAACATCGCTTGCTGCTCATCCCTTAGTAGTTAAAATGAAACTGACAGTGCTCCTAGTTTTTGTTGTTATTATCAAATTTTGTGGTAAGTACCCGTACTTTTTTTTCCTTACAATCAAAACAAATATATGTGTCGTTTTGTTTAAATAACTTTTATGTTTTACTCAGGTTGAGCAGAAATGTATGAAAAGTATATATTTCTCTGTACGTTTTATTGATTTTTAATGTTATAATTAAACCACAAATATGGTAATGTACTTGCTGTGTTTCCAATTAAATTAGTTTGTATGGAAATGTGGATCCAACGGTATGGAAATGAAATTCCCTGTTAGCCCTACGGATCGGTTTTTGCAAGATAAATTATTTCACAGAACTAAATAATTTAGTAGTTTATCCGAATACAATATTCGGACAAGACTGGAAGCATAAGCGTCGTCAGGAAAATTTTCAATGAAGGGAAAACATATACAGGGTGACTCGAATTTTTACCAAGAAAATTAAGGAACCTATAAAGGAAATAAATATAATGGCATTTTGCCATATCAAATTTTTTGAAAAAATTAAGTCCCGTTTTAAACAGTGGCGTAGATAAAAGGTGTGTTTTCCTCAAAAATTATGGCACGCCAGTGGAAAATTAATATTTTTCTGTAATTTTTTTAATTTCAGAACGAAAGTGATCTCTTGATTTTTTTGCATAGCTTTTACCGTTTTGGGACAAATTGGCAAACATTCCTGTAACGTCATTTCCAAAACACCCTGTATAAATGAGCTCCTAAGTATTATTTTTGCTTTTCTGTAATTTAAACATCTCCGGTACAATTTAGATTTCTTACTTCCCTTAAACTTTTGATGGTACAGTTATAAATTTTCATACATTTCGGCTCACAGTGACGTTACTGATGATAAATATTACCATTAAAATTGTCACCCCACACTTGTGCAGCATTTCTGCAATTTACGAACTGATTAAAGAGTAAATTGGATGTTGGTGTAAATGGTAAAATTATACAATTGCTGAAATCATCCTCATGTTTTTAAAGGATGTTTACTTCGATGTAAGGATCAAGCTAACATGTAGCAAGTACATCAATTATAAAATTTCCTGAGAATAACTGGAAATCATGAATAAAAACAATCCTGCACACTTTAAATATAAATTTAAACATTTATTTTGATTGTTCCTTATTATACGTGTATTTACATTTTGATTTGTTCGAATTGAGGTCCATGCCTTTGTTTTATATTTTAGAGGCAATTGAGGAAGATTGCACCGACTTTCAAGGTCAAACAATTGAACACGGGGTATTGTACGTTCCAGGACCAGCCGTGTGTACGATGTGCGTTTGTTACCACAGCGAACCTATGTGGTGTCAAGCTATATATTGTGATCCACCCTATGTAAGTATTTGAAAAAGTCTTGGAACTTGTATGGTATAGTAGTACTGGGAATGCAAAATTTTGCGGATTTTTATTAAACAATTCTAGTAAATAATTATACAAACAAAAGAATACATATCCCCAATGCTGGTTCTTAGTTGGCCACCTCGCTAACCAGACCTAAATGCATGCAACTTTTTTTTTGTGGAATTATTTAAATGTTTTGGTGTACAGAACACCAGTATTTAGCTTAGAAGATTTGCGATGATACATTTTGAACAGCTGTTATAATAATTATTTTTCTTTTGTTTTTGCATATTTGGTTCCTAGATTTGTAAAATTTTCCATCTTCAGTTTAATTTATACTTCAATATCTTAAAAACTATGGGTCTAAGTGCCAAATGGTTAATACTACTACCTTCAGTGTGCGCGAATATCATAACACCCTGTACAGGAAGATTTAAAGTTTAAAGTGCATATTTTAATCCTGAGGATTAAATAATGCACTTTCGTCCTGAAATATTTTGCATTATGTAGCCTGAAATATTTAAAATTAGTTCAAACTTTTTTCTACATTCATGGCATATGTCAAAAATGTCATATTAAAATAATTCTGTAAAATTTCCATGTTTAACGATTTAAAGTGCATTATTCGTGGATATTCGTTTATTTCAATAGTAATTTAAGTTTAGAGATATACAGGGTGTTTTTGAATGGAGTAGTATAAATGATACCAGTGAATCTACATTTCAAAAGAACACGATCTGCAAAAAATCGCCTTAGTAAAATGTTCACCCCTGAAGAGATATGGGCCATCAAAGTTTCCAAAAAAATTATGAAAATTGGCTGTAATTTGAAAACCGAACGAGGTACAAATAACAAATTTTTTACAGGTTGTTTACTAATACAGATGCGAGTTTTCAACTATTTTTCGAAAATTTTAACCCCTCGAAAGGGGTTGAAATAACCACCCCTCAAGCCATTTTTTGCCATAACTTTTATATTTCGTAAAAACTCGATATCCAAAAATACGCATTAGATAAACTGGTTCTTTTAGAAACTTTTACCTCTCTAGCAATTTTCCTTTAAAACTTTTCGTTTATTAATAAAAAAATAAAATGTATTACCATTCACCTCACACCGTATATGATTGCAATCAATCAAAGAAAAACTAAGTGTGCTGCTGTCATGCCAGTTGTCACAATTAACTCTTCTGTAAGTTGTCACTGTTATCAGCTAAATACTTTTTGGGTGTAAATTAACAAGAATTATGCCAAATTTTACTAATGATGAATATGTGGACATGCTACAAGTGTTTTTTTCTACGATCGTGCAAAATTTACTACTTATTGCACTACCTACTGTGCCAAAAGTTTAACTTTTTTTACAGTAGTACAAAAAAAATATTGATTACAAGTTTAATCTAAGCATATCCATAAGTACCTAACGTCTGACATTGACAATTTGCGCAATTAATTTCCAGTTGTCAGTTAAAATTTTAATATTATGTAAAATACTGTTAAATAAAATTTGAAATAAAAACAATCGTAGAAAAAATGTTGCGTGCAACATGTGCAAAAAGCATATTTGTTGCACTTAACATGATTGCAGCTCTCAACTTCGTCTCGAGCTGCAAACTTCATGCATCGTACAACAAATACACACTCTTTACAGTAGTTGCACAAATAACTGTTTGAATGTCGCAGAAACTTTTATTAAATAGAAGTACAATGAAAACGAAACTAAGAAATAATTTATTATCAAAAAGAGAAAAAACAAAAAACTTAGTTAAAGGACATTTTCAAAATAATTGCCATTTCTTTCTAAACACAACCTAACACGTTTATCAAAGTTGTTACGGACTCGAGCAAAAATTATGGGATTGTTGCGAATCTCATCAGCCGCCGCGAATATTCTTTCCTGTAGCTCTTCAACACTGTCAACTGGGGTCGCATAAACAATACTTTTTATATGTCCCCAAAAGAAAAAATCCATGGGCGTTAGATCGGGAGAACGTGCAGGCCAAGAGATAGGTGCCTCATTGCCGCGACCTATCCAACGATTCGGGTAATTTAAATTAAGCCACCGCCTAACTACTACAGTGCTGTGAGCAGGAGCCCCGTCATGCATGTACCACATGGCCTGACGTACATTTAATGGTACTTCCTCCAGAAGTGGTGGTAGATGCTCATTTAAGAACTGCAAATATTCAACAGCACCAAGTCGATGAGGTAAAACAAAAGGGCCGACAAGCACATTTTCTACAATTCCTGCCCAAATGTTTAAACTAAAATTATGTTGAAATGTTGTCATAGATACTTCGTGAGGATTTTCATGAGCCCAGGAATGAAGATTGTGCATATTGGTTAAACCATGTCTTTGAAAAGTTGCTTCATCTGTGAAAAGTATCTTTGAGGCAAAATTCAAATTATTTCTTAGAATATTAAGATACGATTCGCAAAAAACAACTCGCTTATGCATGTCTGGTTCAAGTAGAGCTTGAACTGGCCGGTGGTGAAAAGGATATAATAAATTATCATGGACAATATTCCAAACAACACTATGGGACACATTTAAGTGCATTGCTGTTTTTCTCGTACTAGTCTGACGATTTTCGTCAAACTCTTCAAGTACTGCATCCTCAAGATAAATAGTACGAACAGTAGGTCTTCGGCCGGTACCCTCAATATGCGGCTGTATTTTTCCAGTTTCCCGAAGTCTTCGTTCTACCGCCGAAAAAGTTTGTCTGTGGGGAACTTGACGATTTGGATATCTCTCATTATACGCTCTTGTTGCCGCAGCACAGTTTTTGCGACATTCAAAATACACTTGTAGCATGTCCACATATTCATCATTAGTAAAATTTGGCATAATTCTTGTTAATTTACACCCAAAAAGTATTTAGCTGATAACAGTGACAACTTACAGAAGAGTTAATTGTGACAACTGGCATGACAGCAGCACACTTAGTTTTTCTTTGATTGATTGCAATCATATACGGTGTGAGGTGAATGGTAATACATTTTATTTTTTTATTAATAAACGAAAAGTTTTAAAGGAAAATTGCTAGAGAGGTAAAAGTTTCTAAAAGAACCAGTTTATCTAATGCGTATTTTTGGATATCGAGTTTTTACGAAATATAAAAGTTATGGCAAAAAATGGCTTGAGGGGTGGTTATTTCAACCCCTTTCGAGGGGTTAAAATTTTCGAAAAATAGTTGAAAACTCGCATCTGTATTAGTAAACAACCTGTAAAAAATTTGTTATTTGTACCTCGTTCGGTTTTCAAATTACAGACAATTTTCATAATTTTTTTGGAAACTTTGTTGGCCCATATCTCTTCAGGGGTGAACATTTTAATAAGGCGATTTTTTGCAGATCGTGTTCTTTTGAAATGTAGATTCACTGGTATCATTTATGCTACTCCATTCAAAAACACCCTGTATAATATATTTTCTGCGCATTGTGGCCTGAAATAACCAAGTTGAACCAATTAAAAGTCTTTTATTTACTGGTTTGTACTAAATAGTAAATATTAAATTAACCCTTGGTGGATTGAAATTTCCTGAAATTAGGCACTAAAACAGTACTTTTAATCCAGAAGTGCAAAAAGTAAATTCGATATTTCAGAAGTGTCACTTTGTTCCCTGCACTTTAAATCCCTGGAGTGCAAATAAATATTAAAACGATTCTAATCGATTACGAATTCGAGACGCCTGTTCGACCCGACAATGACGTCAGGGAATAATATATGTTGCGGTTGCACGAGCATTGGATAAAATTACTTACGATACGTATTTTTTTCCAGTTCTGTAACAAATTTCGCGTGGGGGAACGTTGTTGTGAATTCGAATGTCTTGATCCTCCTGGGGATGCTGCTTCTCGGCTGTTGGAACAATACAGGAAAAAGTTACAGAGGGGAAGCTCGCCACCTAGGATAACGGCGAGCATTGGGCAACTTTTAGTCGTGTTTACCATCTGGTTAATCATGTGATTTAATCCACCTGGGCTAATCAGTGCAAGGGGATACTTTTGTGGCCATATAGGTTTTAAATTCGCAACAAATTAGAATATAAATACTTATATATAAATTGTATATAATTATTTATTTCTCCTTGGAGAAATAAATCGCCTAAGGAGAAATATAAGAAAAAACTGATAAAATTGAATAACTAATATTTGAAAACTTAACGGACATTTTATATTGTAGCAAGAGACTAAAGTGCATCTTTTATTTAGAGGTTGAAGTTTGTTTGCCACAATGACAAGAATCACCTAAAGGATAAAAAAGCACTTTAGTCTTGAAGTAAATTTATTATGTTTTTTACATTCCACAGACTACAAGTGTTATTTCAATTTCGAAATATACAAAGTTACTAAAGTGCATATTTTAATCGCAAGAGTGAAATTTATTGCCCTAAACAGAGTCGAGCATGTGCACTTCGGGGGTAAAGTGCGTTTTATTATAAATAAAAAATGCACTTTAGTCCCTTGGTGTATAGTATTTTGCACTCCGTGCACTAGTATATAAAGTAATCTTTATCAACCTTTTGGCGATTTTAGGTCACGAATTGCACTAAATAGTATGCCTAGGTACTAGAGTGACTTTTAATCCCTTGAGGAATAATTTTTTGGAAGATGCACTTTAGTACCTCAATATATGGTATGCCAACAATTAATGATGAATTTTATTTACTTTAGGCCACAGAGTGCAAAAAATAACGTATATACTAGTACTTTAGTGGCTTTAATTTCTAGGGATTAAAATGCACTTTAGTGTTTCGGAATTCTGCACATTAAATGGTAATATGATGATAAGGATAGAAAGAAAAATTGGTAAAAGGAGGTTATTTCTGACTGAGGGACTAAAGTGCACCTTTTAATCCCTAGGAATTAAATGGTGCACTTTAGTTAATTCCTAGGAATTAAAAGGTGCACTTTAGTTCCCAAAATTGAATGGTAATACGATACTACATGATAATAAGGAAAATTTGTAAAACAACCAATTATTTCTGACTGCGAGGGACTAAAGTGCACCTTCTAATCCCTAGGAATTAAAAGGTGCACTTTGGTTAATCCCTAGGAATTAAAAGGTGCATTTTAGTTCCCAAAATTAAATGGTAATATGATATTATCAGGATAATAAGGAAAATTTATAAAACAACTCATTATTTCTGACCGCGAGGGACTAAAGTGCACCTTTTAATCCCTAGGAATTAAAAGGTGCACTTTGGTTAATCCCTAGGAATTAAAAGATACACTTTAGTTCCCAAAATTAAATGGTAATATGATATTATCAGGATAATAAGGAAAATTTATAAAACAAGCTATTATTTCTGATAGCGAGGGACTAAAGTGCACCTTTTAATCCCTAGTTCCTCAGAATATATTATCATCCACATTAAATGGTGATATGATAATAACAGGATAATAAGGAAAAATGGTAAAAGAACTGGTTATTTCTGTAAATAGTATTTATTGTTATTATTATTTATTAGAAAATTTGGGATATATTTAGATTGTAATAGGGTGTGAATGTTCTTCTTAATGTATCCTTTTAATATTCATCTATTCGCAAGACAATTTTTTTCAATTTAGTTTGTCTTTGCGCGTTTTGCCGCGTTGTTCTTCAACAATTTGAGGCGTTAATTCCCTATTATTTAATTTAAGTTTGTTAAACTTATAGCCCCACATTACAGTGGGATTGTATATGTGATATTAGATCAGGGGGGGGGGGAGTTGGGAAATGTAGACGGACTTAGACTTTACATATGTGTTTTTCTCTATGAATAAATGTTTAAAAATAGTAGTTTTTTATTTTTTCTATTATTTATTTATTTTTATTTTAAGGAGGTAATAAAACATATTTTCTAGGAAACTAATAGTTTATTCGTTGGTAACATGAGTAGGGTAACATGAAAATGCATTTTGAAAATATATAACGCTAAGGAATTTAAAACAGGCTAAACTATGCAGATATATGTTTTGTATAAATATGGGGTATATATTATTAAATTATATATAATATATGCTTATAAAACTTGTGAAATTGCAGAAAACTCTAATAGTTTAACAATTTGGACCTCTGAATATATATATTTATATAATGCCTAAGGTGCACCATACACTATCACACCAGTATATCCACTGATTTATCCTTAACTAAAGCTTTTCGTTCAGGTTCATTTCTCTTATCCAGAAGTATCACAATTAAGGGAAAATGGACGTTCACGGACAGCTACGAAAGATGTACAGGGCGTCAGTAAAAATCGCGCCAGACTAAAATAGGAGATAGAATAATCATTTTAAATAAAATACTTAGTAAAAAAAGTTACAGTTACAGTTAATTTATATAACAAATTTTTTCTCGACATTAAAAAATTATTGAGGTGATATAGTTTTACTACACTAAGCTCTTTCGGGGGAATTCGTCCATATCTTGTCTAAAAATTTGGTGCACTCCAAATTCTGGATAAGAAATATGTTACATTAACATTATCTCACCGTTTACATTTTCGTGGAAGTACTTTGCATTTTAGAAATGCGTGGATGATTTTTAAAAATGTCCAACATATTAGATCAAGACGCCGAAAACCAGGCGATTACAATGAATTTTTTTGCGCACCATCAACATACAAAATCAAACCAGTTTCACCGTTAAGGAAAATACGTTTTCAGTATTATAAAGGTTGATTTTTTTAACCCGAATCTTTCAAATATCCCGGAAAATAAGCAGTCCACGAAAAAAATGTCCATCATCAAAATCTAAAATACATTAGTGCTAAAATTAGTCCCCTTGTAGGTGCGACGGAGGGTAACTTTGAAATCTTAAACAGGAACCCCTATTTTTTATTGCAAATTCGGATTCTACGACTAAAATTACGCAGTATGTCTGAAACATTTTATTTGATTCATGATAGATAGCGCTGTAATCGACGAAATTCATTTTTCATTTCTCCTATACATACGATTTGGAAAATGAACTGACAATATTACTTGAAGACTTCAGCTTAAAAGCGCAACGGAACATGTGGTATTAACACGCGATTGTGGATCGGCGGTAGAGCTGGTTCGGTAAGTTAGCCTGCTAGATCACCAGATCTTACTCCGCTAGGTTTCTTTTTGTGGGGCTATCTCAAAGACGGAGTTTACAAACAAGAGCCAACAACACGTGAGAATATGACTGAGCGAATCAGAACTGCTTTTGCTGAAATTCAACCAAACACACCATTCAGTGGTGTACAGTCATTTGAAATGGGGATTAATAGGTGCATTGAAGTCGAAGGCCATCATTTTGAGTGTTTACTTTTATTGAAAAATTATGAGGTTAGGGGACTCATGTAAATCAAGCACTCTGATAAGTGAGAGGTGAATTTGCCGCTTTTGGACAAACGGCATCCTAAATTACAAATTTCTTTACATCAAAAAGTTATTTGAGTTTCAAACCAAGTAAATTTTATAGAAAATCTGCGTTAAAATGGGGGAAAGTCTGATATTTGTGCATTAATTTATGTTTAGACAAACTGTGTAATAAAATCTATAAAAATGTATTGCGGGTCGCCTATAGAGCCCTCTTAAGATTTTAAAGTTGCTCCCCGCCTTAGCTACAAAGACGAGGGAGGGGGGCTAATTTTAGCATTAATATATTTCTATTATGGGAATTTTATTTCGTAGAATGCTTATTCTTCTAGATATTTGAAAGTATCAGGTTAAAAAATCGCCCGGTATTGTACTATTGCATCTGTTCAGTAATATATCAAGTTTTACATGTTGTTGGCAAAAAAAAATATGAACACATGAAGTACACACATGGTTTTTAGCGCATAGCCAAATTCAGGTTTTTGGTAAGCTTTTTACAAGTTTTTATACAGTACCTTTAAATTTACATATAAAAACCATGTAAAAAATTGGAAATATTTAGTAGTAGTAGTCTAAAACATCTTGGTATATAACAACAAACAGCCATCGTGGATAATATTGGACTTTCTTTACGTTGGCACACAAAGAATCATTAAACGAGGACTAAAGTGCAATTTTACTTTCCTATTCTTAATAGTTACTTCCAAACTAAAATATACCTTTAGTACCTATTTCTTCTTCGTTTAAGCAGAACGAGATTAAACCAGTTTTAGTTCATGGAGCGCGAAGAAGTGTAGTATGTCCCAAGGGACTAAAGTGTATCTTTTAATCCCACTTTAGTCCAGAGGACTGTCCTTTTGCACTCGGTGGCTAAAATAACTAAAATTTGATATGAATTTTTCAATAATCCTGTGCTATTTTCTTTTTAGACTTGTTTAGACTTGTAGATACAATTTAAGTCTTTTTGAACTAAGCAATGTTTGTGGAATTTAGTTATTCGCCAACGGCTGTTTGTCGCGTTACAGGTTCATATTCTCGATTTAAAATAATATTAACATTTGTGTATAAACAATTACATTACGAAGATGTGCTGTCGTTGATTTACATGACTTTTGGCAAAATACTATAATCATAGTTGGTTTGTAAGAAAAATAATGGAAACGAAGCTGTTGACGACTTCATATATTGGCATTCATAGCAGTAATTAGAACATTTATAAACCAGCATTTACGATTTCTTTAAGCCGTTATGACCTTAAAATTTTGGGCCACTTTATAGTATATATAAGTACAGATGAGGGGATACAGAGAGATTACTAAATTATATAGTCGCTAGATGTACAGGAATTTATATTAGAAAATACTATATTAATACTACCTAAAATTTATTTTACGTCTATCTAAGAAACAATTCGGTTAGCTTTCGATGTTAATTGATTATTGAGTATTGTTTTAAAATTATTAATATACTGGATGCAATTTAGAATCTTCCTATGACAACAGAATGTCTATAAAAGGAACACCCTGTATATGCTATAATAGGTTATTGAAATTTTTGGTTCCTTTTTAAATCCCCTCAGTTTGCTTGATGTTGGCACTTAGAAAAGAGATTTTTTTAATCTTTATTATTTATTTCTTACTACTGGTGTTAGTAATACTGTAGAATAGTTTACATAGAGGTTTTTAAACTTTTCATTATATTAGATTTAAAATTTATTACTAGAAGTCCTACAACTATCTTGTATAAAAATGATATTATGATTATAGTATTTTATGAAAAATGATTTAATCGTTTTTTTTTCTAGTACCTACTTGTATGTGATTTATGTAATTGTATTTTGAACTAATACTGTATATTATATTAAGGCTCTAAAATTTATTTATTTTTTTTTACACCAACTATCATGGATGAATTGAATATAATGTTAATTCTGATAAAATATCCATAAATTGTTGTTTGTTTCAACAGGATTGACAACAAATGATAAAACATGTTGGTATTGATATGAAACTTAAAATCACTTGCAATTTTTGTATTTTCTAAAGCCTGCCGCACAACGAACGCAGCGTAGTGTAACGCAGATTACCGCATGACATTTACGCTATATTTATTTTGTTTCCTGTCAGAGCTTGTTAAGATTCCGATTGGGATTATATGAACAATAATACGTGATTTGACGTTAACTTATTTGTTGTGACGTATACGGTTTACACTACCTGTGTTCACTTTGCGAGAAACCGATAAAATGGAACGATATAAAGTAACATTAATCTTTGTACACCCAGTGTAGTAAAATGAGCATTTATCTGCATCTCTTATTTAGGCTTTCGACAAATTCGATTTTTGAAATGCGTTTTATTTTCTTGAAGTGGAAAATTTCTAGCTTACTAGGCTACTAATTAAGGTTGAATAGGAAATTATAATTTTCGTGTCACTAAGGTAAAACCTCTCCTGGCTACCTCAAGGCTCTAAGTTTGGGAAGCTTTATTCTCCCCTTTCTTTAATATACCCTAACACCACACTTGTGTGGTATGTATTTGGCCCAAAGTTCATATTAATAATAATAATTTAAGACTAGATTCCATTTACAAAATATTTACACAATGACACTTATATACTGCTAGAATGATGTTAATATAAGTCAGTATAGTTCTAAGAAAAAATGTATATTACCTACATAGATATATTGGTGTTTCATAGGCCCTTAACAGTGGTTTTCGTTACTAATATTATATATTACTAATAAAAACAAAGAATTGATCATATTGATGACCATTTAATGAAGTCACATTGTAATAAATAAATATATAATTTTGTACCTTTCTTTCTAAACTCGGGGTTATTTTTGGAAAAGAATTAGACCGTTGGGATGAGGCAGTCGCAAAAACGGATATGGGCTTATTCTTATACACTGAGTGTACAAAGTTACTGTTACATTCAGACCGCGCCAAAATCCATGATATCCAGTGAAAACGTATATACTAAATACTGCGTTAAGTGGATGTTATTTAACTAAATCAGCTTTGTCCTGCCGTAGAAGGTAACGTCGACTTCCCTAGGGGCGGCAAAGCAGCCGGACCAGGCCATGGACAGCCGGGAGGCACGCTACGGGCCTGCTGGAGGCCCGCTGCTGACTCCGGGTGCAAAAAGTTGCGCCTCTGCTCTATCTTCTCTTGCTGAAAACGAAAACATAGCCTGAAAAGGTTCCAAAATAATTTTACATTGTAGAGTGCTATATCAATGCAATACAGTCGCACTGACAGAAAGCGACCTGCAATTTAGCAGGTACTATGAAAGTACGACGTATCGCCAACTAGGCGAAGCAACACATATCTGCAAAAGAAAAGTTGTTTGCACCATAAAGCAGACCCATATTTTTCGGCACTGAATCTGATTTTGACCTCTGTTTTGACCCTACACGTCGGAATTCTTTGTAAATCTTTTAAAGTATGTATATCTTGAAGGGTCCCCAATAGTGTATTCTAAAGTCTCAAATCCACAACGCCAAACCACTAGTATTTCATGAGCCTTTCATACAAACCTTGAAGTCCCCCAACAGCCTCAACCCCCTTAAAGTCACAACCCTGTTTACATGTACATCATATCGAATGGCGACCTTGATGTGCCTTTATCAGAAACCACCATGAGCCCAGTAACCCTATGAAATTGGGAATTAAGCGAACAGAAGGGAGATCAAGGTATTTATGGATCCCGGGAATGTAGACTCGAGTAAAACCTCTAAACCTTTTGTCAGAAATCACCATACCCTCATAAACTCAAGAAACCCAAAGCCCTATATGAGTCTAGGAATGCAGTGGGCAGATTTGAATTCCTTTGTCCTGTTCACTGCATTCCCAGTTTCGCGGGGTTATGGAGCTTTGGGCTTCTTGGGTTTGAGAGGTTAAGATTTCTGATAACGGGTTACGGGGTTATAGGGTTACTTGAGTCTTGGTTTCTTCCCTCTGTTCACTCCATTTCCAGTTTTATAGGGTTATGGGGTTATTGTACTTATGAGGTTATAAGGGTTGAATGGTAATAGGGTTACTGAGTCCCCCATTCAAAGGTTTTGAGATCCGTCATGATCGTATTCTCAGGCTTATGGTATTATGTAGTTATAGAGTTATGTTGTTTTGGGGGTTGAGGTTAGGGGTTTCAAGGTTATTGAGTCTGTATGGAAGACCTATAAAATGCCTAGTTTGTGCTGGAGTTGTTTGGTGTTGAAAGGGTGTGAGACCATTCAACCATTGGTTGGGTCATAAATAGAGGGCGGATTTAAATTCAGTGGACGAAATTTTATAAGAATAACAGGATCTACTTTACGACGTAGGCAAACCTTTTTTTTACGAATCTGTGTTATTAACTGATGACATTGAGGGAAACAACTACTCTGCAAACTACATGCCCCGATCACAACTGAACGTGGTACGATTTGACAAATTTACTTCAACCCTGAAGTAATAAAAAAAATGCACTTTATGTAGAAGGATACAGAAATACAGGCACCAAGTGTCCCATATAAGCCCCGTTCCCTACTTCACTACTTTGCCACTTCGTGTCCTGCTTTGGCTTGTCTTTATATGTGTGGTGAATAGTCTTAACTGTTTACTGGATATTCCTGGTGTAATTAAGTAATTAAGTGCTGGTCAGGGTACGTAGCCTGGAATTCAATAATAGCTGGATGATTCGTCGGCCGTCTCACTTACGGCATACTGATGAGGACTAATAACTCCGAAATCGGTATATGCCTGGTGGGTTCGACTGACAATTGATCCTAGCTGTTTACTAGGTAGTGATGGTATATTTAAATGCTGGTCGGGGCACGTAGTTGTTTCCCGCAATAAAAAGTGACCGCAAAATCCGCCCATTTTTGCGTAGTGTGTAGCAAGAACGGGGAAGGTTGTACAGAGGTCCCCGTGGGCTTAAATTGATCGTCATGAAAAATCTAGGTGAGCATAATTCGATTTTTCCAATATTTGCCCGACTTACCCCTACTTAAGGGGTGGAAACCACCCCTAAAACAAGAAAAATGAGAAAATAGTCGATAAATTCTTGGTAAAATTGGGGAAATTTCACATGGCAAGGGTAAAATCAGGAATGTCCTTCTAAAAATGCTCATGATAAACCCACCCACGTGGGGGTAAAACAAAAGATCGAATTATGAGGCCCGTCTTTCGTATCATTTGTCGGGTAGTAGGGGAAACAAAGTACTTCATGAAGTGGATATCATTCCCCGTCTGCTATCGGCAGTAGGGGTGGTTTTACCCCCACGCGGGGGGTGTTTTTCACCTTGAGCATTTTTAGGAGGGTATTCTTGATGTTACCCTTGCCATGTGGAATTCCGCCAATTTTTACCCAGATTTTGGTGACCATTTTTTCTGTTTTCTTGTTTTAGGGGTGGTTTCCACCCCTTCAGTAGGGGTAACTGATCAGAATCTGACAGAAGAACGAATTATGGGGGCATGTATTTCATATCATTTGGATTTATAAGGAAGAGTGGCACAAAAAGGCAATTCATGAAGGGAACGTCATTTGCCGCCGGTTTTCGGCAATAGGGGTGGTTTTACCCCCACGCGGGGGATGTTTTTCACCTTGAGCATATTTGGAAGAACATCCCTGATCTCTTCCTTGCCATTCAAATTCCCGCCAATTTTTACCAAGAATTGATCGACCATTTTCTCACGTTTCTTGTTTTAGGGGTGGTTTCCACGCCTTAAGTAGGGGTAAGTCGGACAAATATTGGAAAAATCGAATTATGCTCACCTAGATTTTTCATGACGATCAATTTAAGCCCACGGAGACCTCTGGACGACCTTCCCCGTTCTTGCTACACACTACGCAAAACCGGGCGCAAAAATGGGTTTTTTACGGTTACTCTTTAATTGTGTGGACGAAGGGATGGTGCGCTATTAATTATGAAATGAGTTACCAACCTGTGACTGTATCCTGGTAGCTATCAAATCCGGTAATAGGTCTAGCTGTTCCTGAAGTGCTACCAGTTTATCTTCCATCGTGGTTAGTCTGTCTTCGAGAGTGTCCTGTCTTGTGCTCATGTCCGACACTATTTCATAAACAGTGTTTTGGGTCTGTAAATAAATCAAAAAATGAACGAGTAAAAATGGAGTTTATAGGGGATTGGGCATATGTAGCAGATAATACCGATTAAAATGTTGTACAGTTATTTATTGGTGACATAGTTTTAGTTGTTTTTGATACCTGCTTAAAAATTAATTAAAGAAACCCTTGCGACAAAAGAATCAATCAACGGTTATTTTTATTAAACTATTTTCTCCCTCCAAAAATAGACCTAGCAATTATATCACTGTAGTTAATAGAAATTGTTTTTACACCTTTCTACATTTAACCGCCTTCAAAAATAACGAATATAAGTGGAAAGCAAAACACAGGGACACACACTACACGTGGTGATTATTTAAAGGGTGCTATTGCTAGGCGAAGTCTACCTGAATAAGCACAAAAATAAACGTAAAAAACATAGGAGACGTAAAAAGTTATTTATGTTTTTATCAGACAGGCTCCTGAGGCCATTTGTAAAGATTATTTCAATTTTCTTTGGCTAATAATTTCTTATTAGTCTCGTAAATCTTATTTTACGATGGATTGTTCATTGCTTACCTTAGCCATGTCCGTAATAGTATTGGCGTTGTCCATTAATTTACGTTGGTCCATTTTAACTTTCCTTAACCTGTAAAACGTGAAATCGATGAAAATCCGCGCCAAAAAACAAACAAGTAAATTTGTAAGGGATTTTATCTATTTTTGCTCCGTTGTATGTCCCTCATGGAATACAGGGTGTTAATTAAGTACGTAGACAAATTTTAATGCTTCTAAATATCTCTGAAGGTGTTTGATATATAATGATGAAACGCAGGCTAATGATTTATCCAATTAAAGATAAAAGTCCACTTAATTCGCATCAAAATACCAGAAGAATCGTCGCTTAACTATGTACTTAATTAACACCCTGTATAGTGTATGTTGAAGAATACTTACGCGTATATAGCAAGTAAAAATTTTCTTTGGTGAGTTCGAACTCTACCTGGGTTAACTCTTTTCACTAGCCTTGTATGTTTGTAAATCAACCAGGTTTCCCGTAAGACGTTCGCAGCTGCATTTTTTAACTGAAAAAATAAAAGATCTTTACATTCCACACGAATAAACCTGCCAAAGCAATTATGACGGTATCCCAAAAAGCTAAATAATGAGAAACTTTAAAAATGAACGATTTGCTATTTACTGACAAGACCAGATCAAATTCAGGCTATGGGATGAGAACTCCCATAATCCAAGATCATGTGAAGGTCAAGAACAGGTTCCAGAAGAGAAAATCGGAAGCTATGAAAGAGCTACTGTTAAAATTGTACGCCTAGTTAGAAGGCTAGAAATGATCAGAATATGCATAATCTAAGGACGTGTAGAGGAAGACAAAAACCTGAAGCTGTGTTGAAGAACCGGTGTCAAAATTATAGAGCCTAATTGAAAGGCTAAAGATGGATGAGAACTTCCATAATCTAAGATCATGTGAAGACCAAGGTGAGCTGTTCCAGAAGAGAAAGACTGGACGTTATATGACAGAGCCATTAAAATGGTAAAGCCTAAATTAGAACACCAAAATTTGATGAGATTATCCATAATCTAGGACCATCTGAATGTCTAGTAAAATTGCGCTTTTACTATTCCAGAAGCAGACAAAAATCAGAAGCTGTGTATAAGAGCTACTGTCAAAGTTGTAGAGCTATTAAGCTCTACAACTTTGACTTAGAAAGGTAAAGTTGGACGAGAACTTCCACAATCTTCCAAGATCATGTAAAGGTGCGCTAGGTATTGTTCCAAAAGAGAAAAACGGGAAGCTATGGAATAACCACTGTCAAAGTTGTAAAGCCTAATTAGAAGGCTAAAGTTTGATGACAATATCCATAATTTAAGATCGTGTGAAGGTCTAATAAAAGTGCGCTTTCTACTATGCCTGAAGAGAAAAACAGAAAACTGTGCGAAAGAACCATTGCTAGAGATGTAGAGCTTAATTAGAAAGATAAAGCTGGATGAGGAACTGTATAATCAAAGATAGGTGTGATAGATTGGTTGATAAACCCAAGTACTCAAGCCCAAAAAATTCCCATAACCCTATAACCCCATAACACCGTCACTTCATAACCCCATAACTAATAAATCATAGGCAATCTGTGTTATGGCTAAACGTTAACGTAGTTGAGGATATCTTAAAAACCTATGCACTCAAACCCCAAAACCTCCATGACCCTACAATTCATAACCCCACGATTCTCTAAACACAACTTCATTACTTTGTACTTTAATCTCATTGACCAAAGAACCGAGTATTACAGTCGATCTAGTTTTTTTATAACTTTAATTGGTAGGACCGTTGGCATTAGCATTACCCAATGTACAATTACCCAATGTACAAGACGAGGTGGTTGTGATCGGATTTCGTACATCATATAGCTCTCATAAGAGAAATTAATTTGTAGGATATGCTGTACTATAAATTAATCAATAAATGAATGATTAATGTTAAGGATCTCTCTTGACTAGATTAATTGAAATGAAAATCCAAAGGATAACCGAAAAAATTATATTACTAAAATAACTAGATCAAAAGACCGGACATGTGAAATGACTAGATCAATACATGGGAAGCATTTTGGGTTTGAGTGCTAGGGTTTTCAAGGAGTTCTCAGCTATGTGACGTTTTGCAATAATACAGATTGCCTATGATTTATTCCCTTGATTATGGGGTTATGGGATTATACGGTTATAGGGGTTTGGGTTCATGGGCTTATTCGGTTGGGATACCATTGGGTTAAATGTTTATGGGATTTGGTTAATTGGATTTAGCGTTGTAAGCTTGAGTTTTAAGGTTATATGGTTCAATTGTTCAGAATATCGTTTTTTTTTTTGAGGTTATGAAAAATCCTGAGGTGATGGGGTTAAATGGATTCGGATTCAGCTACCCAATAAATATATAATAAACATGGTATGATTTCTGGGCCCTAAAGTCGATTTTTGTGTGTGTTATTAATGAGGATACTATCCATAATCTAAGGTCTAGTAAGCTTTCTACTATTTCAGAAAAAGAGAAAAATTGAAAACTGCTTGAAATTTGTAGAGGCCAATTATAAGACTAAAATTGGATAAGAACTCCCATTATTAAGGATCATATGAAGGCGAAGCAAAGGAACGCTAGGTACTAATCAGAAGATTAAAATTTGGTCAGAGATGTCCACCATAAATACAGGATGGTGATCAGCTCCATACATTTACGGCCTACAATACAGGATGTATACCAATTTGGCAGTTATGGAAAAACTGGAATTATCAAGGAATTTCATAGATCTGCAGATTTCGGAATTTTTTTTACCGTGGAATGTTACTATGTTAATTCCTAAGATGATATATTTAATGATAATCAAAGATGGCTCACCCTGTAGATAAATATAATGAAAGCTTAAAAGTTGACCAATTTCTAATTTAGTTTGACTCAATATAAATTTCAATATCGAAATAAAGTCATGAAGTACTGTCAGTCAATTGCCAATCTGTTTGTAACTCTTTGAGATACCCTCATAATTAACTTATGGCTTTAATATCATCCGACTTTCTTAATGTTTTGATATTAACAATCGCTGATAATCATAATCAGAATAAACGCGAAATTGAATCTCGGTTGGACAAATTCGATTAAAAATATATGAAAGAGCATAAAAATGTAGATTATTTCATCACTTACCCGTTTGGTTAGCTGCGTGTCCATCATGAAATTATGTACATGTTTTTCTGCTCTTGTTAATTCTAATTTTCTTGATACTACTGCTACTAATAAGGCTGTACAACCAGCTCCCTGAAAAGAAGCGATTTTGATTCAACATTTTCCAGTTCATTTGAATGAAAACTACGTCATTTTCTTTCTATACCCAGACATTTTCATATTTATAAAAATATAATTTGAATATCAGATAGGAATAGAAGTATTTATACCAATATTAGCATAAACACAGCAGTGGAAAACAGAGGAAGGAAAAAGACTCCCGCTTTGTCTTGCATTCCGGAAGATTCATCACGATACATATTAAAGGAAACAGTAGATTGGAAATGTTGAAGATCCAAAATTTGCTTTCATCAGGGACTAATTCATTAGTTTACGATTTATTTATAGACGCAATGAAATGCTATTTTTCGTGATTTACGTTAAGATTAAAGAAATGTACGCGCAAGTTTATTATTCAGCTCACAAAGTGTACGCCCTACCCGAGCTATAGCAAAATAACAGTCGTTATTTCTCGCACACACTATTCCAAACAAACTGAATTTATATGTTGCCTTTACGGGCAAATCCTGGAATGTCGCTGGAAAGTTTTATCCGCTACAATGTTAATTTATACAATGTCTTTTAGTGACCGCAGAGAGCATAATGAGAGCTGCACTGGTTTTACTTTATACCCAACGGAAGAGAAGCAGCTTTCGAGTTAGTATTATTAAAATAAAACACATAGTAAGCCGACTTGATTTTATTTTCGCAAGTTCCGGATTGTCGTCAGGTTCATCGGCAACTGTTACTGTAACATCCGGGAATTTAATATAAGGATGAAATATCCCTATGGACATGAAAGGAATTCTATTTTAATTTCGTTCGGAACCCTATGCGGTTATCGGATAAGGGGAATAATATGCTTTAATAAATATCTCACCATAATACCAGTGCTGACCGCTATGCCCCTTCCACAGTACGTATTGGGAACGATATCACCAAAGCCTACGCTCAAAAAGGTGATCGCTATCAGCCACATAGCGTTAAGGAGGTTCGCATGTTCTTCGTCGTGGAACCTGCAACAAATCGTCTCTTTAATACCCGTAATTGCGCCTATAAATGCCAGTATTTAAAAAATCATAGCGATTTCGATATTTTTAAACATAACGCTTCGATTGTTGGATCCACATGAAGAAAATAAAGTTTGGGTAACTCTAAAGCAAAGGCTCGCCTGAGAAACATAAGTCAGTTTGGTTTTGGAACTGGCTTTCCTGCTACCCATGCTCTCTAAAGGTCTAAACTAACAAAATTTATCTTCGAAGGACTTGACGAAGGATCACATTGTGCTATTACAGCTTGTGACCTAACCAAGGCTTTCTTTCGCCTGTGCTTCACATGACACATTAATTAAAAGATTGGATAATAGAATAGACTAGGGCGGATCTGTTGTGAGGTGGACACGAGAGGGGGCAAGCAAATTTTTTCTGGATTATCTTCAGTACAACTCACGTAATAAAAGTGTAGACCCCTAGATCTGGGCGAGGTCCGGAACATTTTCAAAATTGCAAAAATGTTTAAAAAATTAAAAAAAAATACCTATTTTATCTGAGTTTTTTATTTATATCTTGGTACCTATGCATTTTGGAAGAATATTGAAGAGGAAAAAGTTTTAGAATTGAATTTTGCACAATATACTGTAAGTTAAAAATGTTTAAATTTATTACCGATGTTGCAAAATAGCAATAATTGATGAAAAAAAGCCAAAATAATCAAACGAAATTTTTTTCGTGTCTCTTGTGAAAATATGTCAGTTTATCATGTTTTAAGAGCCCCCTTAAGATTTTTAAAAATTTCCAAAATCGTCAAAAATTTATTTATTTTTTTATTTTTTCTCGTTGTTTTATCATTTTCTAATTTTTAAGGGTAACTCATAATTATTTTAACTTTAAAAGTAGTGTACCTAAAATGTTTTCGCGCGACCTCTAAAAATAAATATCAACGAACTAATATTTTTTATTGAATTTGATGAACAAAAGTACTGTGAGTATCAAATATTTATAATTTTTTAAAATTTAAGAAAATGATAAAATAACGAGAAAAAAAATGACGTGATTTTTTCTACGGCCTACTATTATTAATAAAAGAGCATTTTCGATTTGATCACACCTCAAAACCCTAAATATAAAGTATCATTATTATAGCTTTTACAGGGTGTTTAGAAAATAGGTGCAAACTTCGAAAAACTTCACTCATTGCAGTGTCTTGTATTAACAGTGAAAAATATTTTCAAGGTATTTTTCCATAATTTTATTTACCGTAGGTGTATCCATGCAGTTTTATTGATTTCACTCATACAGGATGCTCACAATATGACAGCCAAATTATATATTTTTTTATTGTACCAGAAATGAGTTTCACAATGAAATAATATTTAAATATTACCGTTTTCTATTAGCCCACCACCATTTTGTATGCACTGTTCAATTCGTCTCCTCTTATTTCTAATAACTCTCCTCAACTGATGTGGTGTTATTTAATTAAAAAAATATAATGTGTTTTGTGGAATTTTATGTGAACGATATTAATCTAAACGCAAATATATTTTTTAATTTTTTAAATAATGGTTTCTGGGATACAGTACATGCACTTTCTCTTCATGTAAGACAGAACCTCTACCTTCAACTAGATGGAGCACCTATTCAGGATGCGGTAATAGTAAGTCATTGGTTGAATGAAAATTTCCCGAGAAAGTGGATAGGTCGCAACAGTCCGATAGTTGAGTGGCCGTTAAGAGCACCAGACTTGACTCCTTTTGATTTCTTTTTATGAGGAAATTTGGAAAATAAAGTGTACTAAACAAGGCCCCAGAACAGAGAAGATTTATGTAATAGAATTAGACAAGCCTGTCGATAATGTCGAGATGAATTGAACAGTGGACTAATAGAAAACAGTAATATTTAGATTTTATTTTGTTGCGAAATTCATTTCAATGAAACTTTGTATTTAGGGTTTTGAGATGTGATCAAATCGAAAATGTCATCCATTTCTTTCTTAAGAAAATGCCTAATATGTTTTTTAATTTTTGAGGGTCTTTTCTTAATGATAGTAGCTCGTAGAAGAGATCACATGTCAAAAATTATAATATCAAAAAGTAGGCCTTTTTGAGTACTACCACATAAAAAATAATTTTGGAAATCGACCAACGCCATCCTAAATATGGAGGTATTCCGACTTTAAGTGAAACACACTGTATATTTCTCTGAAAAGATAGTTTACATTTTCTAGAGTAGATTTAAAAATATATATATATAAAATTCATTCATTTTTCTGCCTATGATTTTTTAAATTTCTAAAATCATCCCTTAACTTCTAGTCTCCCTAACTTCTTAATTTTAATAATACAAGAAAAAGTCAACTGACCATTTCTATATAGAATTTTATGCCCTACAACTTTTGTAAGAAACTTTTTTTATTAGCTCTTATCCCTTTTAGAGACCCCTTTATTTTATCTTTTTTCACCCCTGGCCGGGGGTTGAAAAAAAAATACTCTCACTTATTGTTATTATACAGAGTGATTCACAACTTATCCAAAAATATTTGGGAATAGATGCGACATGAGAAATGGACAATATCGAAAAAAAAATTTTTCCGAGAAAAAAATTATTGAAGTTGTAGTACATTCAACCATTACATACAACTGTAGTCATTCGCAATACGTGTGGAGAGCCACGTGGCCTCAGCGACTCTGAATACTGAAATATGATTTTAAAAACGTCGTTGCGATAGTGTTTACATGTTATCTGTGGTGTTTACAATAGTTAGTTTAGTTTTAGTGTCAAAAATGGTTTGCGTGTATAGCAACTCGAAGTTGATGGATATCGTTTTAATTTATGGTGAAGCAAGACAACATTTGTGTTAGTTCGTAGAAACTGAGTAAGACGGACCCAAATGTGTTTACACGTCGGTGGATAGAATTTTGAACAGTTGTTGTAACATCGGGTATGTCAAATTAGTTTATTATTTAGAAACACAAATTAAGTTTTATTAATTTATAATAACAATAACGGCAAAAGCAGTTGAATTTGCTGATATAAAATAGGTGTTATAAAATTCTATTTATTTCTTTCCTTGTGAAAGTTTTTGTCCGTTTTTATCACAATTTGCCGCCATGTCGGTCGCATTGGGCAAGGTCAGGTTTTACAGTGGACCAGTTTCCAGTGACGTGAAAAGTATATTTTTAAATCATTTTCGTACTGCCCTTTTTGATTTTTTCTTTACAAAATTGTATTTGTAAGAGTCCCCTGTATATCCAAACATTTTTTTTGGATAAGAATCACCCTGTATACCTCAAACCTCAAAATTTCAGGCAAATTGACCAAAATTGCGAGTTAAAGGCGCAGTTCATTGGACTATATGATAATTACAAGCTTTTATTTTGTGTTACATATGGTTACTTTTAATGACACAAATGTCTGTACAGCATAATGATTTGTTGTGGTACGTCTAAACGTGATTTATGTAATCGATACACAATAACTCAAAAGAAAATGATATCTTGGAATATTACTGATCAGCAGCATTAATCTTTTTAATTAATAAATACCCATCTCAAAGACAGAAAAACAGGGGTTCGAGAGGAGCATAATCCCAGGAGATTTTATATTTTATATTCCTTACATGTCGTAGGAGTTTCCTTGAGACAAAGCAAATCCAATTTATTTCTGTTTTTGGACTGAACAGGTTTCGTTAAACATTGGTCGCTTCTAATTAATTTTTAATTTGAGTTTATTGCGGAAGGCAAAATAATATTTACAAAGCATAAATTGTCAGATAAATATAAAATTTCGAGCTGTAATATTAGACTACAAGCCCATCGGAAATTTTCAAGGGGTCATTTGACCGAGCATGTCTACTTAAGTTGGAACCATATGGAAAACTTTTTTATTATTGGTTTTATGGAAAAAAGTTATCTTCGTAAAAAGTTATGCATGGTCTAAAATCTAAAATGCAACCTACAGTTATCAAAATTTCCTAGTTATATAAGAAGTATATAAAAAATTATGAATTTTGCTCAAGAGTAAAGTACCTTTATTTTTGACAATACAGAAGAATGTTATAAAGAAAAGTTATTTTGAAGTAAAAGTTATTTTCAAATATGCAATTACAGCCATTTAGCATGAAGATTCAGGTTTTGATTATTTACGTTTTACATTATAAATTATTTGTATTTATCTCTCTTATCTGTTAAAAATATGATATTTCTATTTGTTAATGTTTATGAACAACCTGGCAATTTAATTATAATAATAATACAAATAATTCATAATGTAAAACGTAAATAATCACAAAACCTGAATCTTCATGGTAAATGGCTGTAATTGCATATTTGAAAATTACTTTTCTTTATAACACTCTTCTGTATTGTCAAATATAATGGTACTTTATTCTTGAGCAAAATTCATAATTTCTGATATACCTCGTATATGAGTGGGAAATTTTGATAACTGAAGATTGCATTTTAGATTTTTTAGAAACTATGCCGTCAATTCTTGTTGGTACAATTGTAAGCTACAGGTAAGCTAAACCTGTCCACCAAGGGAGGTGGTTTTCGGCAAAACATTTTTGTACGGCATTTCTAAAGCATATAGGTTATACAAAAAAAATGAACCTCGACCTAATGCCGTACAAAAATAGCAATACCGGAAGCCAGGAAAAGTTTTGATTTTCTGAAAATTTTGGCCCGGGTTTTGGTGATTTATTACAGTATGGCATTTATACTGCTGATACAGGGGTTAGGAATACATGGTGCAACCCTCTATTTGTAAGTAGCGTATGGGGGGTAATTTGAATCAACATCAAATTCACTAATTTTAATTCTATTTTATAAAATAATGACATTTTTGGCCAAGCCGTACATTTTCCATGAAATATGTGCTTACTATAGGAAAATTAATTTCCCTTTGAAAAGTAGGATTTCACGGTAAAAAATTTTTATACGGCATTAATATATTTTGTTAATACTGACAACAATAATCAACAAAAAGAAAATGCCGTACAAAAAAATGGGTCTAAATGG